TAGGTAATTGCTGCATGTGTGATTACATGCAAAAGATGCAGATGTTGTCAGCCTGTCATTGCTTTGTACAGGCTGAATGACTGCAGTTATTTACATTCACACCTGTGATTCTAGCTGCTGGAATCAGCTGATTCTTTCTGCATTTTTTATTTTTTTTTTGCAAGCTGCTTTAATTGGGGGGCAACTGTGCTCACTCTGCTGTCTCTTCCTATGTGCGTGTTCATTCTCAACATCTATGTATTGTATGCAGCAGAGCCTGATTTACTAAATTGTGAGCTGAGCTAAAGTGATCCTGTGTTTACTTCAAACATCCAGTAATGTACAATGGAAACTTGGTTTTTAAATTCTCCTGAACATGATTACATATCAGATTTTTTTTTTTGTACAAGTCTGGCGCCGTTGACTTCGAAAGCATATATGGAGCCAAGCGTCTAACATAAGTGAGCTTCTGAAATCTCAGATTACATATGGACGCTAAAATTATGTATTTAAAAAAGGATGGCCTATAAAGAAGCTTTGAAAGGCATTGCTCTGCGAATGTAACATGACTTGATTAGAGGAGACAAAATCCATAGATGAGTAAATAGAGCAACCTTTCTCAGCATTTTAATCCCAGAGGAACCCTTGAAATACTTTCTTAGGGAACCCCAGCTATAATTATATCTACAGCTCAAGTACTGGACAGTAATTTGTAGATAAAATAAATTAATAACAATAAATGTACCATTTTTAACACCCCCTGCTCTATAGGATAAAATAATTTTTAGTGATAATCTCAAAATTAAAATGAAATATGTATGAAATGAAAAAAATGCCAGAAAAGAAACACAGACCAACTCCCTTACATTGATGGTTGATGGAGAAATGCCTCCCTACATTGGTGTTCAGTGATGGGTCCCATTACACTGGTTGTCAGTCGAGAAGTGACTCCTTTCATTTTGGTCGGTGAGAGATGTGCCTTCTTAGACCTAAATGCAGTGGGAGGAAAAAAATGCCCCTTGCATTAGAAATCATTTGAAAGATTGTATAATTTTATTGGGTGTCAGTGGTAAGAATGTCCCTTACATTGGTGGTCACTGAGAAGAAATCCTTTTTCAGTGGACATCTGTGGGAAGTTTACCCCTTACTTTTGAGGTCAGTACCATTTAATTTGGTCAGTGGGAAGAATTACCCTTTTAGTGATGATCAGTGGGAATAATGACCCTTACAGTGGTGTTCAGTCGGAATGATGACCATTATGGTAGTGGTCAGTGGTTGGAATGACCCTTTTTGTGTTGGTCATTGAGAAAAATGCCCATTGTGGTGGGCAGTGGGAGGAATGTCTCTTACAGTGGTGGTCAGTAGGAAAAAGTTACTTACAGTGGTGATCAGATGGAAGAATGTCCCTTTCAGTGGAGGTCAGTGAGAAGAATGCCCTTTATTGGAGGTCACTTGAGAGAATGTATCATTTCATTGGATGTCAATGGGAAGAATGTCCCTTTTTAGTGGTGTTCAGGGAGAAGAAGAGAAGAAGAGAGAGGATAATCCTCACGACGGCGGTCACTGGAAAGGATAATCCTCACGACGGCGGTCAGTGGAAAGGATAATCCTCACGACGGCGGTCAGTGGAAAGGATAATCCTCACGACGGCGGTCAGTGGAAAGGATAATCCTCACGACGGCGGTCAGTGGAAAGGATAATCCTCACGACGGCGGTCAGTGCAAAAATCTACCAGTTCATTGGATGTCATTGGGAAGAATGCCATTCTAAAAGACAAGAAAATATTGTTGGATCTGTCAAGTGGCATTCGTCCTAGATAAGAGGTCAATCAGCCACAGTTCAAGAAAACCCTAGTAACCTCTGGAGGAACCTTGGTTAGCAATGGCTAAACTAGAAGAAGAAAGAAGGGGAATTATGAAATCTCACAAAGAGAATAGTGAAGGAAAGGAAAGACAGGAAGAGAGAAGGGAAAGGAACAGAATGTCCCATGGAGTTGCCTATGATCCCTGCCTTGAGGAGCTAATATAACTGTTGGCTGGAAGTTTTGTGTATCTATATGGAAAGTTTTTTGTGTTTAATAGGGAAGTGTTAGAACATATTTTCCAAATGCAGTCTATACCCCTGTTGAGGAGATGTTTGTCAGATTTGAAAGAAAACTTGTCCAAACTGAAACAAAAACTTTGGTTACAAATACATTATAAGGGCTTTAGACATACTCAAATCACTTATGATTGGATGTTTGAGGCAAAGAAAGGAACACATTGCTTCTCACTTTAGTAAATTACCCCCAGAATGTACCTTTTTAAAATGGGTAAACTTTTCCAGCCTAAGCAAAACCTCCGTTTCACTCTAAATAGCATTTTACAGCCGAGCCTGTCAATGTTTGGATTAATCTTATGATGTAATGGTAAATTCACCAGTTTGTTGTCCAGATACAAATCTCCGAACTCCTTTTGCAGCTTTTTGTTACAGAATTGGGGATTTAAACCAAATATTCTAGATTTGCTGATCCTCTACTGCTGAGTGATGGCAGCATTAAAGGATACCTCTGCTGGGCTGAATAGTTGCATTGCTGACCTCCTAAAAACGCTGGTTACCTGGCTAGCTCTGGCCTCTATACAGTCACTGATCTGTAACAAGCATGCAAATTAGAAAATTAAAGCGTGGCCAGAACTCCTGATCTGCCTACATGTTAAAGGTCGATGACCGATACTGAAGCCACTGGACCAGCATATCATCCAGGCAATAAACATTTTCAAAGGGAGAGATCAGCAATTGCACCTTTCATGCTTCCTCAATCCAGGTTTCCTTTAGGGCCCCTTTACATCATTTTGAATCACAACCCGGTGTATGAAGGCAACTCCCCTGTGGTAGTGCATTGAGTTGCATGGTATTACATAAAAGTCAGGTCCAATTCTGATGACATTTTAGTGTGCTGGCAGCCATTACTTTTAATGGGTTGTCTTTACACACCGCATGTCAATGCATGACATAATGCTCCATAAAATTGGAAATGGGCCTCTTTATGTTAAAAACTGAAGTAATTTTTGCATTGTTATTAATATTCACCAGCAGTGGGTTCTTGTTTCATACCAGTGTCAATATACTTTCCTGAAATAATTGCCTTCACAAACTTCTAGCCCAGTTGAACTCATGGGAATAGATATTCAGTCATACACACATCATAACAAGGTAACTTTTTTCATATTTTTCCCCAACTTTCTTGTAACAGCAGTTGCACTGTGTCTAAGAACAACTGAGGAGACCTGCAGGGTAGGCACCAGATTCTGACCACACTGCCCTGTGCACTCCATATTATAACAGACTTGGTCAGACATACTCCCTCTTTCTCTACATTATGGGCCCAATTAAACTATGACGCTGAGGTACCGTGTACTTTACCACAATATGCCACAATGCATTGATGCAATGCATTGCATTCATTTTGAACAGAATCCCAATGGGCCTTCCAATGGACTCGTGTTGCAGTGCAGCTCAATATGCAGTAACGCAGAACGTGCATTGTGGTGCACTGCCAAAGATAGTGCACACGCTATTTTTTAGCAGCAGACAGCACTACAGTACAAGTTAGTGCCACATGTTTGTACATTGTTGCACAGCAAATATGAGCTGTGTTGTGGTACCTTTTAACATGTGTTGTGGTAAAGCATACAGTAATGCCCACATAACCGAATCAACAATAGATGGGCCCTTAAAGTCTGCATGAGGCACTTATATTGGCCACAGCCCTCAGTACTCGCCTATTCTGACATAAATCACTAAAGTGGGATAGCAAGAACTGCATTTCAGTACTATAAAGAGTAGAAAAAAGTTGAGACTTCAACTGGGCTTTCAGTTTTACTGACTTGCAAATATTTTTGTGATATGTATGAACACTGGTGCACAGGAAAAAAATGGGTACTACAGACCTCAGCCATTGCCTGGATCTTTATTTTAATTTTGATTTGGCACAAACCGATTATGGAAAACATGTTAAAGCATATGGGGCACATCAGACATTGCTTAGAATAATTTATTATCCCCTGTGTACCGGTCCCAGAGGCGCACACCGCTTAGTGTTAATCTATTTAGAAGCCAATTATCATACCAGTATGGGTTTAGCCTGTGAAGGGAAGCCATAGCTGCTTGAAGAACCCTACATGGACCAGGGGAGAATGTGCAAACTCTATGTAGGTATCAACACTGGAAGGAATTTACAAACCTGTGTTTACCAGTCCCATAGACACTACATTTATGGCCAATCTCGTCAAAAGCCAATTATCCTACCAGTATGCTTTTGGTCTGTGTCAGGAAGCCATAACTCTTTGAAGAACCCTACATGAAGAAAGGTAGAATGTACAAACACTATGCAGATATGATTACTGGGAGTTCTTTACAATGGTCTGTGGTAGGAAGCCATAGCCCCTTGAAGAACCCTACATGAACCAGGGGTAAACATAAAAACTCTACGCACATCTCATTACAGGGTGCTATTCACCATCTCGTGTCTAGTCCTATCAACACATAGTTAATTGCCAATCTAGTAAAAAACCAATTATCCTATCGGTATATTTTTGGCTTGTGGCAGAAAGCCATATCTCCTAGAAGATCCCTGCATAAACCAGGGGAGAATGCACAAGCTCTATACAGATATCACTGCTGGGAAAAATTAAATATTCCATATCTACCAGTCGGATAGATGCAGATAATTTATGGCCAGTCTAGACAGAAGCCAATTCTCCTACCAATATTTTATCGTCCTGTGGCAGAAAGCCATATCTCCTGGAAGAACCCATAAACCATGATGAACATACACACTCCATGCAGGTACTGCTGGGAATGGAGGACAGGATCCAAACACTTCAAGGCCACAGTGCTAGTCATTGGTTTCCCAGGTTATAATTTGGCGGAATGTAGTACTGTTATTGTTAACCGCACCAGTTTTCAAATATGCCTAGTTTATGTTCCATTCTCTGCCCACTTCTCATATCTATCTGATCCTTTTATCTTTACTCATCTAGCTAACAGACTGGAGACAAGAGTGTATTTACCTAGAGAATCACCTACCACTCCCTGTACATTCCAGCCCGGCTGTCATTCTCCCCCAGAGGGAATACAAAGACTGGAGAGGACAGCTGAGGTACCACGCTAACCTTTTTACTTTCATTATTCCTGTTTCATATAGGTCAACTGACCATCACATAACTGTTTTTTAAGTGTACCTGTTGCTCTTACGCAGTAAAAAAAAAGTCATCTGCTGATGAAACAAACATTTAAAGGGCTGGATCACACCACAGTTCAACACATGTGCAGTGTGGTGTGATTGTACGGTGCAATACGTTGTTTTAAAACCTTGCCATGCTCACTTTTTTGTTTTTTTAGCTTCAGTGTTAATCCTATGGATTAAGATGTGTTGAGGCACCTTGTAGCATGCTACGTTTAAATGATTTGTGCATTATTTTATCACAGTACGCACCAACATTAAGTATGAACAGGCCCTGTACAAAGACTGCCTTTTGGGTTGACACTGCATTGGAAAGCACTGCTCAATGCAGCCCAACAGTGTTGGTGTGAACCAGCCCTGAAACCTAGAGGCTGCCTCTAATGTATATAGTTGGTGACAGGTACCCTTGAATTAAATTGCAGTGCTCATCATTACTCTTAACGCAAGGAGTTCTTGACCTTGCTGGCCATAGACATTGAGAATAGTCACATGAGCAAACACGATTTGGCCCTCTGAAGATGTTCTTTTTAGTCCAGTTTTAGGCTGCATGCACCCTGCCCTAAACATTCGTATTGCTGATTGATTTTGATGGTCTGCCAGCAGCAGCACTTGATGGGACACCTGTGCTCTTCACCTGCAGCTAAATGGCAGAGCCCCATGCACTGGAGCTAATGTCCAGAGTGCATAGAGTCCTAGGCATGAACATAAGCCAATGGGTTGTTAAAGCATTTACAACCCATTGAAAACCCATGTGACCTGTGACACTGTGACACTATTTACTACCAAGTCGGCAATATTAGCAGATGCCCATAGGATGGCTATAGGTGGATCTACTGCTTATCTGTGAGCCATTCGCCATTATCCATGTACCACTGTAACCAGCTTTACTACCTTGATTCAATATTGCACCCTGAAACGATTATTCCTTTTTATGATAAATGGAGTACGCGGAGGAAACCTGACCAGACAAAATATGGTTTCTGCCAATGTATACCTCTCCTTATAAAAAAGTCAGTTGCCTGTGATGGTGATACGTTAACTTCAATAAAGTGGTTACAAACCTCTGACATGAAAAATGAACAAAGCATATCCTTCTATATTGTGTATATGGTCTCAATCCAAAACCTAGTGCAATTTCTGTCTGCCTGCTTTGCTATCTGCACAAGTCATTTCTGACAGCTAATACTGACTCCAAGGGATGGAGAGGCCCTGGAAAGGGCCTCCTGAACACACATGCATGTGCATGTTTCCCTTTGAGAGTGTGTGTGTGTGTGTGTGTGGGGGGGGGGGGGGGGGGGGTAGTTGGCTATTTCCTCCACTCAGATCTCAGGTTACTGTCGGCTCCCTGCTATGTGCTTTGCAGTGTGTGACATCAGATCCCAGCCCCCTGCCTGCTAAAGCTCAGAGAAGCTGTGTAGATTGAGTTTTTAGGAAGCTGTAGAGGAGAGATGCTACAGATAAACAGGTACAACCAGAATGCTGTAAAATCTCCTTGATTGGCTCAGTGCTTGGCATCAGTTTTGTCACTTTCTGAATATTGGCAATTGTGGCATGAATTATGATTTTTTTTCCTCTTTTTAATTATTGAATTATTGTCACATATAGGGCAGTAACAAACAATTGCCCCTCAGTGGTTCCTTTTCCCTCCTACTTCCTTCTATCAGCCTTACTTTGTTCTTAAGTAAGATTAAAGTGTTACTAAACCCAGGACCCTGCATTCACCATATCCGGTCTCCCAGAGTACACAGAACATGGAAATGCAATTATTTTCGTATATATAAACTGCTAAATACCTTTTCTCATCAGCAGTATATAGCAGTCTTGCGACCTCTATCAGTGTCCAGCTGAGCTCTGGTTAATCTTGTAGGAGTTTTCATTCTCCTCTGACTGTCCTATGAGGCTGCATAACCCCTGACCCTCTGTCTGGACAGTGCTGATTGGCCCTGTGCTGATCACATGCAGCCTCCCAAAAAAAAAAAAATCTCTAGCAATATACACAAAACTGAGCATGTGCAGACTTGTCACTGCTGCTCTAACTATGGCAGACGGATTGGGGACAGCAAAAGAAGAGGCGGATCAGAGAAGACAGGATCAGACAGCCTTTTTACACAGTGCAGAGGATTAACCCCTTATGTTCCACAGTGAGTATAACAAGCATGCTTTACTGCATATACAGACTGATTTTACTGTTGTGGGTTTAGTAACACTTTAAGGAGATCACATGCAATGTGACGTACCAACCGCTAATTATTAAGGACATCAAATTTTAATGAATTTGAGTTTGTAAGAAAAAAAGTGCTTAATTTAGAGTGACTTTTCACAAACAAAATAATCAGCCTGGTAGAGGAGAGCTTTAGACTTGGTAAAAGTATTTGAAATGCTTTTTTTCAGCAATTTTTATATGTAGACGTTGGAGAGCCCATGTTAATGTCTTCATTCATATGATTTCAGATTTGCCTCCAAACTAATATGTGGTGTTTTGGATTTCAAAGCAAAAATTGAAAGGTGAGTATATCCTCCAACATGACCTTACCTGGTGTAATCTTATCTCTGGTATTTCTACATATCAGATTTGTGTGTGTGCATGTGTGTGTGTTTTTTTATTTGTGTATTTTAATTGTTTATTTTTATCAATTCACAAAATTTAAAGTGAGCAAACAGCAGATAAATCAAGTCAATATTTGGTGTGAATACTCTTTGGCTTCAAACCAGCATTAATTCAATTCTTCAAGCTCTTTTGAAAAAGCACAAAGAAACAGGCAACATTGAGCACTGTAGATGCAGTGGTCGGACAAAGAAACTTAGTGATACTAAAGGCTTACATTTTTTTTGCTAAAAATAACAAAACATGTTGTACTTACCTGCTGTGTGCATTGGTTTTGCACAGAGCACCCCAGATCCTTCTCTTCTCAGGTCCTCTGCAGGCTCTCCTGGCCCCTCCCTCCTGTCGGGTGACCCCGCAGCAAGCAGCTTGCTATGGGGGACACCCGCGGCTTCGTGTGTCCATTCACACACGGAGCCGCAGTTTGGGCCCCAACCCCCCTTTTCATTGGCTCACTGGCTGTGATTGACAGCAGCGGGAGCCAATGGCTGCTCTCTCAGCCAATGAGAGGGAGCCCCTGGATAGCCGAGACTCCAGTACACATCACTGGATCAAGGGGGGGCTTAGGTGAGTATTGGGGGGGGCTGCTGCACAGAGAAGGTTTTTTTTTTTTTTTTTTACCTCCATGCCTAGAATGCACGTAGGTAAATAACTTTGAGCCTTTATAAGCACTTTAATGCAGCAGATGAGACACATCGTACTTATTTCCCTTTGACATCGGAAGATGTCCACTAGTGCCATTAGCACAGGATACCAGTGGGACCAAATTACACCCATCTATTTTCTGGAGAAGTCTGGTCAGAAGTGGTCTTCATGGAACAATTACGGCCAAAAAGCCATACCACTGACATGGAAACAAGGCTAAGCAACTCAGCTATGCATGAAAACATAGGAACTGGGGTGCAGAAAAATGGCAGCAGGTGCTCTGGACTGATGAGATATTTGGCTGTAGCAGGAGGCTTTTTTCTTCATTAACCACTTGCCTACCGGGCACTTATACCCCTTCTTTACCAGGCCAATTTTCAGCTTTCAGCGCTGTTGCACTTTGAATGACAATTGCGCGGTCATGCAAGATTTTACCCATATGAAATATTTAGCATTTTTTTCTCACAAATAGAGCTTTCTTTTGGTGGTATTTAATCATTGCTGGGCGCTTTACGTTTTGCACTATAAACAAAAAAATTGCAAACAATTTGAAAAAAAAAGTTTCTTTGTTTCTATTATACAATTTTTCAAACAGGTAATTTTTCTCCTTCACTGATGTGCGTTGATGAGGCAGCACTGACGGGCACTGATGGGCAGCACTGATGGGCACTGATAGGCAGTGCAGATGGGCACTGATAGGCAGCACTGATAGGCGACACTGATAAGCAGCACTAATGAGGTGGCACGGATAGGTGGCACTGATAGGCAGCAATAATGAGGTGGCACGGATAGGCGGCACTGATGCTGGGTACTGATAGACAGCACTGATAGGTGGCACTGACTGGTGCAACTGCTGGGCACTGACTGGCTTGCACTGACTGGCAGCACTGCTGGGCTGCACTGATGGGCACAGGTGGGTGGCACTTCTCGGCACAGGTGTGTGGCACTGCTGGGTGGCACTGGTGGGCACTGCTGGGCTCAGGTGGGTGCACTGCTGGGCACAGGTGGGTGGCACTGCTGGGCACCGATCATCAGGGCACTGATCATCAGTGCCCTGATGATTGGTGCCGATCCCTGCTCTGACAACTGCCGGTTCTCGGCAGTACTTTCCTCGCGCTCTGACAGCGCAAGGAAAGTGCAGCTGAAAACTGGCAATTGCATTTCACGGTGATCAGCGTGTCATTGGACATGGCTGATCACGTGGTAAAAGACCACTGTGATTGGCCTTTTACCACATCACGTGATCATCTGTGTCGTTAGTACACAGCGATTACGGAGATCGCCCGGTGCACGCCCCCCGGGGGTGCGCAGGAGATCGCTTTCTGGGAGGACGTCATATGACGCCCACCCAGAACTGGCCGGCCGCAGTGTAGCCATCATTCGGCTATCTGCGGTTGGCAAGTAGTTAAAGGCTGGAGAGCAGTAGAATAATGAGTGTCTGCAGGCAGCAGTGAAGCATGATGGAGGTTCCTTGCAGGTGTGGGGCTGCATTTCTGCAAATGGAGTTGGAAATTTGGTCAGGAGGGTGTCCTCATTGTTGAGAAATACAGACAGGTCCATCATGACATACCATCAGAGAGGTGTGTTATTGGCCCCAAATGTATTCTGCAACAGGACAATGACTCCAAACATACACCCAGGCTCATTAAGAATTATCTTCAGCATAAAGAAGAACAAGGAGTCCTGGAAGTGATGGTTTGGCTCCAACAGATCCCTGATCTCAACATCATGGAATCTGTCTGGAATTACATGAAGAGACAGAAGGTTTTGGGGTAGCCTCCATCCACAGAAGATCTGTGGTTAGTTCTCCAAGATGTTTGCAACAACCTGCTGAGTTATTCAAAAACTGTGTGCAAGTGTACCGAGAAGAATTGATGCTGCTTTGAAGGCAAAGGGTGGTCACCCCAAAAATTGATTTAGATTTTTCTTTTGTTCATTTTCTTTCCATTTTGTTATTGATCAAAATAAATGGTTAACACTTCTATTTCTGAAAGCTTTCTTCATTTACAGCATATTTTTCACAACTGATCATGGAAATTTGCAAAGATTAAAGCTTCAAAATCTTTATTTTCTTTCAAACCAGCCCTGGTGGTCTTGAGGAGCTGTGGCGGGGTCACCCCCTGTGTCCTGACCAGTACCATAAATTCTTTGGCTCCTGTAGAGAGCCTGGCTACAAAAGAGATCGGGTCCTTCTGCAGCCGCCGAACAAAGCCCCACCCCATCGCGTGACCGTCTGTAAAAACTATCAGGTGACTTTCTTCTTAATAGTAACATCCAATGTCTGGCTCCTTTTAAAGCAAAAGCCTGGTACACACTACTAGTTTTTTATTCAACCCAGCCAGTTGAATGGGGAAAAACCCCCTGAAAGCTCAGGAGGAGCAACTGTACTAACCAGGGGCGAACTGACCATTTGGAAACTCGGGCACTGCCCGAGGGCCCGGGGTCAGTAGGGGGCCCCATGAGACGCCCCTGGTACCTTTTTTTTTTTTTTTTTTTTTTTTTTTTTTTTTTCATAGGTTTTTTTGAGTTTGGGCAAGGACACAGGGGCCCTATGATCCCCCATTGCCCGGGGGCCCCATGAGTTGTCAGTCTGCCCCTGGTACTAACTATCCAATGTTAGTACTGCAATCTCCCCTGCTGTGCTATTGTGTTCTAACAATGGGGGCTGCTCCCTGCCAGAACACTCCAGTAAGTGCTCCCAGCCATTGGGAGCCAATCGGCAGACTTTTTTTGGTCATGCCCCTTCGTCAGAAGCTTCTGTTGGATCGGCCGCCCTACACATGGGTCGAATGTCAGCCAGTTTCTATTGAACTGGCCGATATCGCCCGACATTCGGCCCACGTGTACTAGGCTTAAGATGACAGGATACAAAAACACACATACACACTATCTGTTACACACAAGCAGGAACTGAAGACAGTTGCAGTAGAGGCCTGGCAGAGCATCACCAGGGATGAAACCCAGCGTCTGGTGATGTCTCTGCGTTCCAGACTTCAGGCTGTAATTGACTGCAATGGATTTGCAACCAAGTATTAAAAAGTCAAAGTTTGATATATGATTATTATTCTGTCCCATTACTTTTGGTCCCTTAACAAGTGGGAGGCACATATGCAAACTGTTGTGATTCCTACACCGTTCACCTGATTTGGATGTAAATACCCTCAAATTACAGCTGACATTCTGCAGTTAAAGCACATCTTGTTTGTTTCATTTCAAATCAATTGTGGTGGTGTATAGAGCCAAAAATGTTAGAATTGTGTCGATGTCCCAATATTTATGGACCTGACTGTAGATACAGTTGTGACCAAAATTATTCAACCCCCAATGCTGTAAAGGGGTTTAGGGACTATAGTGTGTACATTTGGAATTGTATTCAGAATCAAATCCTACAAGGACGTTGTAACTACCCAAATGCAACTAAAATGACATCAATTGTTTATGTAATACAGTAGTAAATGGTTCTTATGTGGTTTCTTCATTGCCACAATTATTCAACCCCTTAAAGACTACCACTCTGAAGAACAGAGGTTCATACAGGTGCTTTCCATCAGGTATTGAAAACACCTGTGGATGTCACCGAGCAGCAATCAAGCATAATAAGCACCAATTAGGCAGCTTTAAAATGACTGTGATACTCAGCTCCTTCTAGACATTTACTGGTGTGGTTACAAACATGGTGAAGGCAAGAGAATGGTCCAGGAAGACAAGAGAAGAGGTGATTTCTCTTCACAGGAAGGGCAATGGCTATAAGAAGATTGCAAAGATGTTAACATACCAAGAGACACCTTAGGAAGCATCATTCGCAAATTCAAGGCAAAGGGCACTGTTGAAACGCTACCTGGTCGTGGCAGAAAGAAGATGCTGACTTCGACTGCTGTGCGCTACCTGAAGCGTAGAGTGGAGAGAAGTCCCCGTGTGACTGCTGAGGAACTGAGAAAAGATTTGTCAGATGTGGGTACAGAAGTTTCAGCCCAGACAATAAGACGCACACTGCGTAATGAAGGAAGCCTCCGTGCCAGAACTCCCAGGCGTACCCCCTTGCTGTCTCCAAAGAATAAGAAGAGTCGACTGCAGTATGCCAAAAAGCCATGTGGACAAACCACAAAAGTTGTGGGATAGTGTTCTGTGGACTGATGAAACAAAATTAGAACTGTTTGGGCCCATGGATCAACGCTATGTTTGGAGGAGGAAGAACAAGGCCTATGATGAAAAGAACACCTTGCCTACTGTGAAGCATGGTGGAGGGTCAATCATGCTTTGGGGCTGTTTTGCTTCTGCAGGTACAGGGAAGCTTCAGCGTGTGCAAGGTACCATGAATTCTCTTCAGTACCAGGAGATATTGGATGGAAACGTGATGCAGTCCGTCACACACCTGAGGCTTGGGAGACGTTGGACCTTTCAACAGGACAATGATCCCAAGCATACCTCCAAGTCCACTAGAGCATGGTTGCAGAGGAAAGGCTGGAACATTTTGGAGTGGCCATCGCAGTCACCAGACTTAAATCCGATTGAGAACCTCTGGTGGGACTTAAAGAAAGCAGTTGCAGTGCGCAAGCCTAAGAATGTGACTGAACTGGAGGCCTTTGCCCATGAAGAATGGGCGAAGATACCCGTAGATCGCTGCAAGACACTTGTGTCAAGCTATGCTTCACGTTTAAAAGCTGTTATAACTGTAAAAGGATGCTGTAAAAGTACTAAGATTGAATGTCACTTGGGGGTTGAATAAAACTGATAATGCTGTGAGCACAGAAAAGACATTTGTGGTTATTTCATTATAACTGTTATGTTATATTTGTCTGACCTACAAGTGCCTCTTTAATGTAAATGTAAGCAAGATGACTGAATGATCAAAAGCAATGTCAAACTGGCCAAAACACTCAATTTCAGTGGGGGTTGAATAATTTTGGTCACAACTGTAGGTAACAGGTAGGCATGTCAAGTGATGGAGGTCCAGTGGGAGCATCAGGTCCTTTGGTTGCGCTCTGAGTGTATTCCCGCCGCTCCGCTGGTGTGCAGGGCTTAGGGAGTAGTAGAGGAGTGCAGGGAGGCTCGCAGGGATGAAGTCACCGCATGAACCGGGTTTCCAAGATGGCGCACGTTCGGAGCATGCTCACTTCTTCGTCAGGCTGATCACTTGACATGCCTACCTGTTACCTATCTGTGTGAGTGCAATTGTACCATTAAATCTGCCTGATTTTAACCGTCTATGCTTAGAGTGGCGCTGCTGTCTCTCTTCTCTTATATGTATTTAAAGTCCAACATAAATGTCTGTAAACCATGAGTAAATATACAATTTGTGCAAATCATGCAAAAAACGTAATAAAGTCTACCAATAGTGCTAAAAACTTTTCTGTGACTTCCCCACGAGTTCCACCACCATTCAAAAGCACCTGCTTCTTATCAAAAACAAAACCCCAGGTTATAGGAGGTCTGTAATGCTCAATGAAGCAAGAGAACTGTCAGCTGCAATCCAGTATACAAACACAGGAGAAATGGAACCACAGGGCTCCCCAGCAAGGGACATAGCTCAGTACCATCAAAAACAGAAGTCACAAATGGTCCACAATGTAAAACCACATCTTGTGTTTATTTACTAAAAGAAGGTACTAACATAATCCAATATTCAAAGAGCGATAAAACAAACTGGTGGCGTGATGACGTCGTCACAAGTCCCACCCAGACTTGTTTCATCTTAGGAGACTTTTTCAAGGAGATCAGCTGACCATGCTGATGAATAAAAGTACATATTTTAGTTTTTAAAACGTTGTCTTTTCTGTTGTCATTCTTGTATCTTGGTCTACACCAGTTTTTTGAGCTTGATGTCTACAACAGTGATGGTTCCCCACTGACAGAAGACCAGATTCACCAACAGATGCTCTTCCTGCGAGCGCACTCCAAAAAAAACCGACAAGGAGCCAGTGGGTGTGCTCACCACTGACCACAGGAACAGCTGGGGCCGGGCATACAATACACTAATACGTGGTAAGTGTGTTCTTAGGAAATATAATTGAACTGTATGGAGGGAACAACAGATAACAGCCCTTTCAATAAAAGAGATGAAAATAATGCGTTCATTAGGGTCCATGCTAGTGAGCTTTTGTTTGCTTCAGAACTGCTTTTTTTTTTCTCCATCCAAGTCAATTGGAATACAGAGGCAGATTGATGCAGGTCAGAAGCAGGTTAGCTGCAGGTCAAATGCACCTGTGAAGGTGTTCAGATGGAAGCATCTTAAACTGATCACCAATGCAAGCTGTATGCCCATGAAATTGGGCTACGTTTATTTACTGACCCATGCTTTGACGCTCATTCACACCAGCAGCCATGCTGAAAGCACAGCCGCTGGTGTGAGCTGGGAGCAATAGCGCTGATGCGCTGAATTTGGCGCATTGCACTGTTTGTGTATTTTGTTAGAACTCACAAATGACATTTCATTAGCCACTTGACCTCCAGAAGGCTTTATCCCATACATGACTAGGCCATTTTTTTACTATTCAGCACTGTGCTACTTTTAGCTGGCAATTGCTCAGTCATGCAACGTTGTACCCAAATGAAATTTTTTTCCTTTCTCACACAAATAGAGCTTTCTTTTGGGCAGCACAGTGGCTAAATGGTTAGCACATCTGCCTGGCAGTACTAGGGTCGTTGGTTTGAATCCCAGCCACGGCACCTCCTGCCTGGAGTTTTCATGTTCTCCCTGTGACTGCATGGGTTTCCTGCGGGTACTCTGGTTTCCTCCCACCTCCAAAGACATGCTGGTAGGTTAATTGGATCCTGTCTAAATTTGCCCTTGTATATGAATGTGAGTTAGGGACCTTAGATTGTATGCCCCTTGAGGGTTAGGGACTGATGTGAATGTACAATATATATGTAAAGTGCTGTGTAAATTGATGGCGCTATATAAGTACCTGAAATAAAAATAAATAATAAATATTTTTTTTTTTTTTTTAAATGAAGATATTAAATACAAAAAAAATGTTTTTGTAATTTTGCACCATTTTCTTTTAATATACTGTCACTAGTGCAGTACAGCATCATATTTATATGAGCTGAGCAAACTGTTGGCGCTATATAAATCCTGTATAATAATAATAATAATGGTGTGGAGGTTATTAGGGATACTGACTGGTGACCGTATGTAAAAAAAAAAATATATATATTTTAACAATTTTTTTTCTTACAATATTTAAATTTTTTTTCCATACTGTTAGAGTAGTTCAATGTCACCATAGTGGCACTTTACTACTCTGGGGGGAGGGGGTGGTGATCAGGGATTTTTTTTTTTTTTTTTTTTTTTTTTTACACTGTGATTGCTTGTTACAGTGATAATCACTGTAACAGCAATTGTTTGACATGAATGATTTTCATTCATGACTTATTGTTTACTATTGTGATGCTGTGATTGGCCCACAGCTACCACATGGTACAGGGTGCTGTGATTGGCCTAGGTACCATGTGATAGCTGTGGCCTAATCACAACATCACAATAGTAAGTAGGCTGTCATGCAGGGACATATTTATCCCAAGGCAAACATTGCACTTGCCTAAGTGACATTTTTCAGGGGGGGGCAGCACCTCCCAACCAGAAGAAGGGATGAAAGAAGGGTCACGTGCACCATGGGAACCAGGTGGGAACCGAGAGATGTTGTGGGCTGCTTGATGGTATATGTAGAGCTCCTGGGGATGTACAGTGCTGTGAAGATGAGTGTCTCTCTATCACTGGGGGGGCAGTGGAAGGCTCTCCTTGGTGGGGGGCAGGTGTGTTTGGTCAATGTCATTCTCTCTCCGTGGGAGGGGGAAGGGGGGTTTGTGTTGGTCGGTGTCCGTGGGGGCAGATGATTTTTGTGTTTCCCATCATAGCACAAAACCTAAATACACCACTGCTGTCATGGAAAGGCTTTCATGACAGTTTTGTTTACATGCTATCATGTGATTGCTATGATTGATTTTAGTGATCACATGATATCCTGAGAGCTATTAGCCAGGTACCGAGCACTGTGATCCGCTGTGTCCATCAGGCACAGCAGTCACTGGATTGTGCTGCTGCTTGCCACAGAGGGTGCGCCAGTGTGCATGAGCATAGCGACGTATGGGTACGTTGCGGTGCCTGGAGCACCACTTAAGCCTCATAAGGTATAATTTTTGAATGGAGCAACGCAAACGCAACATGTAGACAGGACTGTAAGCTTACCATTATTTTATTTTATTTATTTTTTTTAGTGACAGGTGCTTTGATTGGCCTTTAGAGCGCTTTAAAAAAGCATGAGCCCTAAGACATATAATAACAGATTTAATTACACATATATTGGGATTTTGAAATCCTAGATTACATATTTATATTGACGCATAAATTTACACGTTTGTGATTAAAACAATAGTTTGTAATTGTATCTTATTTAATTTTGGCAAATGAGCTGTATTCACAAGGTGCTTACTTACTGTATGATTTAACAAAGAATTACTGAGGTTTATGCAGGCCATAGACGGTTTGTTTATCGGCCAATTTTTCATCCGAAAAACGAAACATCATTCGTTCTGTAAACCGATGTTGCCACCAATGATTGCGAAAATCGGCTGTTTTTTTTATGAATTTTCCAGCATGAGCGATAAACGAAATGAGGAGGAACCGCGAAAATTGGCCAATTTATTCTTTCAGACCAAAATTCGGCCGATAAAAGAACCGTCTATGGCCTGCATTAGGGCCCGTTCACACCATGGTGCAGAGATGTCAGTTTTTCTGCACACGTTCTGCAAGGGCACAACAAAATCAATTGTTTTCTATGTGCTCCATTCACACCACAACACTAGTATCATGTGCAGATTTTTTTCTGCACCGGAATCGGCAACGTGTATAAAACTCATTGGAGCGTGCATGAAAACTGATGTCTCTGCAAGTGAAATCTATGCGTCCGTTTCCTTCAGTTTTTCTGCATCTATGGAGTGAACGAGACCTAATTGTACTTGTAGGTTGCATCAAGTAGCGCTGCACCCATTATCACATTCATATGTAGAGCTCTGTGGAAATTGATGGTGCTGTATAAATGCCTGTACTTCTTCTAGTACTATTAATATAATATAATAATAATAATTTTGACAGCCAAAAACAGATTGGTTGCTCTTGGTGAGACTACTCCATTCACAGTGTTTTTTGTGCCTTTATCTCCAGACCGTCTGAACAGGGAGTCTGTCCGGAGCATCCAGCGCAGTCTGTTTACAGTGTGTCTGGACGCCACCGCACTGAAATTCTCTGAAGATCTGTACAGCAGTCGTACTGCCGCTCAGATGCTCCACGGCGGAGGGAGCCACGCCAACAGCGGCAATCGCTGGTTTGATAAGACCCTGCAGGTGTGTTCAGCACTGTTCCCTCACCGTCTCCTCTGTATTCTTCCCTCTGTAGTGATAGACTACACTCTTTCAATACCCAACTATATAAGCCTGTTTGTTCTAAAACAAATAGGTTTACATAGATGATATTATCTGGTTTAATTGTTTATTGATTAGAGCTGATCTTCGGCCTTCCCTTCAGTCTTGCACAGTTGCACAGACTGCTTACTCTGATTTCACTGCACACTGTGAGCTTCTCACAATGTGTATTAGAAACTACAGCAATTCACATAGAGACCGCCTCATTTCCTTGCTGGAGGATGTCTAGCATCATATAGTCCCTTTCTCTGAAGCCTGACTGCCTCTGGCTCACGGCTCACCCCTCTTTCATTGGATTTCAGCTCTTTCAGTCATGGAGGCTCAGCATCACATATGGTAGGAGTTTGTGGTTAGTATTGTGCCAATACCAGAGCTGGAGTTTGAAGCAGTGCTAACCTAATAGCAGGGGAGGACTGACAACTCATGGGGCACCCGGGCAATAGGGGATCATGGGGGCCCTGTGTGTCCTTGCATGGAGATCATATCCCCCTTATGTATTATACATGGAGATCATATCCCCCCTTATGTATTATACATGCTTATGTATTATACATGGAGATCATATCCCCCCTTATGTATTATTGATATATCATGGAGATCATGTATTATACATGGTGATCCTATCCCCCTTATGTATTATACATGGTGATCATATCCCCCTTATGTATTATACATGGTGATCATATCCCCCCTTATGTATTATACATGGTGCTCATATCCCCCCTTATGTATTATACATGGAGATCATATCCCCCCCCTTATGTATTATATAGATCATATCTCATGGTTATACATGGAGATCATATCCCCCCCTTATGTATTATACATGGTGATCATATCCCCCTTCTGTATTATACATGGTGATCATATCCCCCCCTTATGTATTATACATGGAGATCATATCCCCCCTTATGTATTATACATGGTGATCATATCCCCCGTTATGTATTATACATGGAGATCATATCCCCCCTTATGTATTATACTTGGAGATCATATCTCCCCTTATGTATTATACATGGGGATCATATCCCCCCCTTATGTATTATACATGGTGATCATATCCCCCTTATGTATTATACATGGTGATCATATCCCCCCCTTATGTATTATACATGGAGATCCCCCCTTATGTATTATACATGGTGATCATATCCCCCGTTATGTATTATACATATCCCCCCTTATGTATTATACATGGAGATCATATCCCCCCTTATGTATTATACATGGAGATCATATCCCCCCTTATGTATTATACATGGAGATCATATCCCCCCTTATGTATTATACATGGAGATCATATCCCCCCTTATGTATTTATACATGGAGATCATATCCCCCCTTATGTATTATACATGGAGATCATATCCCCCCTTATGTATTATACATGGAGATCATATCCCCCCTTATGTATTATACATGGAGATCATATCCCCCCTTATGTATTATACATGGAGATCATATCCCCCCTTATGTATTATACATGGAGATCATATCCCCCCTTATGTGTTATACTTGGTGATCATATCCCCCCTTATATACATGGAGATCATATCCCCCCTTATGTATTATATATGGTGATCATATCCCCCCTTATGTATTATACATGGAGATCATATCCCCCCTTATGTATTATACATGGAGATCATATCCCCCCTTAATCTCCTCTTCTCAAGAGAGAATAAATTCAGTTCCTCTAATCTTTCCTCATAGCTGATCTCCTCCATGCCTCTTATCAGTTTGGTTGCCCTTCTCTGTACTTTCTTCAGTTCCCCAATGTTCTTTTTGTAAATTGGTGTGCAAAAACTGAACTGCATATTCCAGATGAGGTCTTACTAATGATTTGTACCAGGGGAAATGATATCTCTCTCTCTGGAGTCTATACCTCTTCTAATACAAGAGAGGATTTTGCTCGCTTTAAAAGTTAATTGGCTGTGGTGGAATTTTATCAATTGTTTCTGATTGATCGAACAAATATCTGTTTGTCAGGTATCTGATCCTAATACAGATTGTTACGATCGATTTTCAATAAATATTTCTGATGGAACATATTTTAATCAATACAGTATGTGCTGCATTGTTTTGAGATATTGAAGTATACGTGAACCATCACAATGTAAACCAACCCATTTTGGCTTAAAATGGAAATAAAAGGCAAAACATTTTGTGTATACTGCACTTGTAAAAAAAACAATAAAAATATAAAATTTCCCTTTTTTTTTTTTTTTTCACATATCACATATTCTCTGTTCTCAGCTGGATAAGGAGCTCAAAGATCTGGGAGAGGAGAAACACTGGTACAATGGTCTTCCCAGTGAGTGACTGTGTAGAGGGGGAGTGTCAACAGAAGTCTGATCATTGGAGGAGAGCAGGCTAAGTTCCCAGCACAGTTGGAGAACTGACCACGCTGTGATCTCAATCCTAGTGTGGTCAGATTCTAATAGGAAAGCACTGGCAGGAACATCATCAATTTTACAAAAATGAAGCAATACAAGGAGAACAGAATACTTTTTTATACAATTACATGGTACAGCAGGCACATATCAGGAATATGGAATGCTGGGTTTACTTCTTCTTTAACTGATGATGAATTGCTTTTTCACAATCGCCTCTGTCAATTATTTCTTGATTAAAAATTGATATGTGTATAGCCACCTTTACTGCTATTGCAGAGTGGTCTGCACAGGCTTCATAAACCGGGCCATACACCTCGCGTTCTCTTCTCTCCCCTTACTAATATTTCACAACCTCGGCCCCAAAACCTAACACCTTGCAGCACCCTTTACCTTCCTAAGCACAGCGCACAGTGACACTGAGTATGACTCCTACAGTTCGTGGTGGGAGAAGACGGAACATGCGGTCTCATATACGATCAAGCAACAGCTGACGCTTCTGCGGTCCTGAGGATGCTGCGCCATGTTTTAGACTACTGGTATGTGAGTAGTATGTTTCCCTAAATAGATGAATTATTGCACATGGAAGTGTTGGCATTTCTGTCCATCCAGTCCAGAGATCTACACATCACAGGCTGGAGACCTGTCTTACTATTGGACTGATTTTGTTCCTCCTCCAGTTCCAGGGGTCCCAGCTTGCTGCCGCCTCGGACACCCATCACCAGAGTCCCTCCCCCGAGGAAGCTGTATTTCAATTTCCCCCCAGAAGCTAAACAGCACGTAGAGCAGGCCAAGCAGAACCTGGACATGTGAGTAGGCGATGCTCTGTCATTATTAATGGGGGTCACTATTTATTGTAAATAATCATTCTGCAATTTTTTTTTTCCAAGCTGGTGATTCTGCCAGGAAAGTAACTCTTGTCTTACACCCCTTTTGCACTTGTGCAACTTGTCATGTGACTGGACATCAAAGTCGCATGAAAAGTCGTACCCAATGTTTTAAAATAACCATTCATATATGTGTGACTTAAAAGTTGCAGCGACTTTACACTACTTTGGTCTAACTTTCATGCAAATTGAGGACCATAGACTTCAATATTAACCAGGAGTGGACTGACAACTCTTGGGGCGCCCGGGCAATAGGGGATCATGAGGCCCCTGTTTCTTTGCCCAAAATCAAAAATCCTATGAAAAAGGTACCAGGGGCATCTCATGGGGCCCCCTGCTGACCCCAGGTCCTCTGGCAGTGCCCGAGTTTCCAAATGGTCAGTCCGCCCCTGATATTAACCCTCAAAAGTTGCATGAAAGTTGTGCCTGAACGTTTTGCATTCAGTAGTGGTGCAACAGTGGGTCCGACTTTGCAGAGGGACAACAAGACACATCCAAGTTGCACCCAGCTAAAGTTGCATCAAAGATGCACTCCAAAGTTGCTTGACTTTGGAGTCATACAAGTGGGAATGGAGCCTCAAAAGTAGCATGAAAGTCTGTACTTGAATGTTTTACATGCAACAGTGGGTCCGCCTTTGCAGAGGGACAACAAGTCGCACCCATCCAAAGTTGCACTCCAAAGTCATGTGACTTTGGAGTCGTACAAGTGTACATGGAGCCTTTAGGGCAGTGGTTCTCAACCTTCCTAATGCCGCGATCCTTTATTACAGTTCCTCATGTTGTGGTGACCCCCAACCATAAAATTATTTACCCAGTAAATTATAATTCATGAAGTGTCGTTTTACCTCCAATACTGCTGCTTTCAACACAGTAGCTGCTTTCAACACAGTAGCTGCTTTCAACACAGTAGCTGCTTTCTATACAGTAGCTGCTCATTACACATCGGAAATATGTGTTTTCCCGATGGTCTTAGGCGACCCCTGTGAAAGGGTCATTCCACCCCCAAAGGGGCCGCGACCCACAGGTTGAGAACCACTGCTTTAGGGTGACAATGCTCACTTGCAATACTATATCCATTGAGTAGCAGCATTGTCGCCCTAGGACAAGACCAGGGGCGGACTGACCATTTGGAAACTCAGGCACTGCCCAAGGTCCGGGGTCAGTAGGGGGCCCCATGAGATGCCCCTGGTACCTTTTTCATAGGCTTTTTTGAGTTTGGGCAAGGACACAGGGGCCCCATGATCCCCTATTGCCCGGGGTTTCCATGAGTTGTCAGTCCGCCCCTGGACAAGACTAAAGAACTCCTCTCAACAGTGTAAACAATGTAAATGATAACAGGCAGCAGAGGCCTAGAGCACAGGAAGTTATACACTCACAGGATTTCTGGCAGAACCAACAGGTATTTTTTGCACTTACTGAACTGTTATAACAAAACACTTTCAGATGGTATGCTTAGCTGACAAAAAGGGAGCAAGTGGACCTGAGTCATCCCCTGGCATCTTATTTTTCCTGGGGATTCTATGGGTACGTTTACCCTGCCTTCGTTCTTATGTAGTGAAGTGCCCCTTTACTCACCATGCCCAAATGCAGATGTAGGCTCCTTGAACTCCATTTCCTAGAATACCCTGGGTTCCTGTTAACTCTCAAGAAGGTACGTTTCTCTGCTTCCCTCCTTCAGCAGCTCAGAGAGGCCACACCTGATGAGGCAGAGGTGGCTGGGCAAGTGATCTGCAGCCAGGTAGGTGGCTCACCACTGCCAAAACCAGCATGCGGGAAGTCTAATAGCATGCAGCTTCTCCAGAAGACCCAGATACTGTGGGGACCACCTCCACAATTGTTACCAGTGTACTAGAGTTCCAGTGGGGTGGCCTCGCTGTGTCCTTGGGCCTGGGATCCCTCCAGCTGTTCACCTGTGTTACCAGAGCTACCCCGGACCTCACTGAGAGGAACGCTGTTTATGAGGATAATCGCAAGTAGCTGTTTGTATTCTGATCTGTTTTTTACTGAAGTAATGATTCTCAGCTTTGTGCCTTGGAGTCTTAAAGAGTTAATGCTTTGCAGGCCATATGTTACCATACCTGAGATGGCACTGAGATGGTGCTGTGAAGACTCCATGTTTGTGCAGCATTCATAAGTACGGGCAGCTTTTAATAATCTGCAGTGTATGCATGTTTTTTGGCATTCTGACCCTGTCTTTTATTGATTCTAAGGCCTCATGCACATTGGGCATTGTAAAACCGCCAGTAGCATTAGTTGTAGAATGCTGCATTAAAAACGTGTGTTTCGTTGTTTTTTTTTTGTGTTTTTGCATTCGCTTTTTTCAGCATTTTTTAGTGTTTTTCAGCATTTGCGGTTTTTTAGCAAAATTATACTCCCACAAAATCTTCAGGCTCATAAAAGCCAGATAACTGCGTTTTTTTTTTTTGCGTTTTTCAGCTTTTATCAGTGTTAGAGCATTTTTACAGCTAAAAAACGCCTCTTGAAACCCACTAGTTCTGTGGTTTTTTTCCAGCCAGAAAACGCTTCTGCCAAAAAATGCTGATTAAAGCCTATGTGTGCATGAACATAGGATAACATGCTGGGGAGTTTACTGGCTATAGAAAAAAAATTCCAAAAGCTATGAAAACGTCCAGTGTGCATGAGGCCTGTAGATTCCATGCACACGGGGCGTTGTAATGACGCTGGTAACGTTAGCTGTGTAAAGTCACGTTAAAAACTTGAGTTTTTCAGTGTTTTTAAGAGTTTTTGTATTCGCGTTTAGCAGCGTTTTGCTATGCTTGCGGTTTTTAGTATTTTTGCTAAAGAAAAGTCCAAAAACGCTGGTTTGCTGCGATTTACTGTGTTTTACCGCGTTTTCAGCGTTAGAGTGTTTTTAACAGCTAAAAAAAACCCTCTAGAAACCTACTAGTCCTGGGTTTATTTTCCAGCCAGAAAACGCCCCTGCCAAAAAACATTGATTACAGCCTCTGTGTGCATGGACACATAGGATAACATGCTGGGGAGTTTACTGGCTGTAGAAAAAAAATGTCAAAAGCCAAAAACAGTCCCTGTAAAAACGTCTAAGGATGTATAGTAAAGTGCAAGTCACAGTCCCTGTGTGATCATTTGGCCGATACCTGTGCTGGTAAACCTGGCTCAGCTTCTGTCCATCTTGGATTTTTGGGTGCTCCCCCTATACTAGTTGATTTTTTTTTTTTTTTTTTTACATCTGGGGAGTCAGAGCACAGATATCTTGTCAACAAAGTCCCCAAGAGGTTGAAAATCCTTTGTAGCTTAACTAAAGATCCACTGAAAAATTAAAAAATCTGCTTCAGCCAACTGGTAAGTTTTTGCATAGAGGGAGGAGACTGGAGCACCTCAATAAAACCCAGGTAAGCACAGGGAGAATATAGAAACTCTATAAGATTGTGTTCCTGGAGTCGACGGAGCCCAAGGTCTAAACACTACACAGCCATGAGGATAACCACTTCTCCTCAATAGTGCATTTCCATATGCACTCCCATAGCACACTTGAGCCCAACAATTTAGAGGTCTCTGTGTCACAAGACGTAGATTGTGGGAATAGCTATTTGGAGACACCCAACAATGCGGACCAGCTCTACAGCACAGACACAATGAAACCTTTATATAAATGGCACCAGGTCAAGGCAGGTCTTGCTAAGGGAACATCAAAGAGGAAAACAGAGTTGAATTGCTAATGGAGAATAGACTCTGCACTTTGCAAGTGCAGTTGTACTCTCCAGGGGCATTTGCTCCAGAGTTTAGTAAGTGAGGTAGAGCTTCACTTTGTGAAGAATACCTAATCGCATGCAAGGAAAATGAAATTAAAAAAAAAAAACATTTTTTCTTGCATATGATTAGATGATGGAAGTCAGCAGCACTTTCCCTCATTTACTAAGCCCTGGACCAACTGCACTTGCAGAGTGTATTTGGAGATACAGCTTACTAATGTAAAGAGTTTTTTTCATGTTTTTTTAGATTCACATGAAGAGATTTCTGTAGAACCATTAATTTTTTTTATTTTTTTTTTATAGCTGTCTCTTTAGGCTTTCTTTTATTTTCATCTGGTGATCGAGCCAGTAAGTCTGTTGTTTTTCAACAGAAAAGTGCTCTTGCAGTTACAAGGGTGAAACAGACCATTTAACATTGGCAGGGCTGCTTAACCTCCCTGGCGGTATTCCCGAGTGTAGCTCGGGGTAAAGTTTCAGTACCACAAGCGGTAACCCCGAACTACACTCGGGAATACCCTGCAGCGCTGCTCGGGATCTCTTCTTCACTTACCTTGTCCTGCGCTCCCGCGATGTCCTCCCTGCAGTGTCCCCGGCAATGTCCTCCGGCCAATGCCGGCATCTGTCTTCCGTTCCGTTAACTGTGACGTCGGGACGTACGGGGACGGAACTGGCGGGAAAATTGTAGAAGTGACATTCTCTGAATTCACTAAAATCACATAGTATAACATTACTGTATCAAACCATTTCACATACATTTTGTCCCGAGTGCTTTTGTCCTGTGCCCTACCTGCATTTTTAGTTTTTTTTTTGCCTTGAAACTGAGAAACGTCCATGGCATCCAAAAAGTGTCCCTTTAGGTCAAAAGCGGTATTAGACCAGCTAGAGAACAGCGATAGTAAATTTAGAACCACTTGCAGAATTGAGTGATAATGATTCGTGGGGGAAATTCGTCATCAGACACTGAAAACGATTTTGCGACTTTGCTCAGTGATGTGCAAACTTGGCACTATATTTCAAATTTCAGTGTTTTTTGGTTTGATTATATTATTGAATTAAATTTATTATTATATTTTTTTTTTGGACTATTTATTATATTATAATTTATGATTTCGTGTTTCAAATTTTAACATACCCGGGATGTTTACTAGACTCTTGTTGGGGCAGATTTAAGTGAGTTATTCCTAAAAATTACAGGCCTACAATGAAAAAACATGTTTCCATGCCAAAAAATGTACCGCTTTGAGCACAGAAATATGGACATAATCAGACCGCTGGGGAGGTTAAAATGATCAGCTTTTATTTATGGTAAAAAAAAAAAAACCACTTGCTGTAACGGACTATGAAGTATTAGCTGCAGTTCAGCTTCAATTTGTTAGTATATTTAAATCTGCTAGTACACCTAACACTCCCCTCCCACCAGACTGACAATGCTGCTGTCCATATTTGCCCCCTATGCTCCTTCATCCAGAGTGGGGGCACTCTAATACAGGAGGATTGTTGCTGTCCAGATCACCAGGTGAAAACAGAGGGAAGATTTTGAGTTTGATACCGCTTGAAGCTTTTAGATTAGCCCATGTCCCAAATGATCTGATGGTCTAAGGCACCCGCTGGTGTTACACACACACCCGGGCAACTTTGTTGAGAAAATAAATAAACCTATCAACATGTTTTTTTGTTTTGTGAGAGGAAACTGAAGGGAATAAAAAACCCGAACAAACTTTGTTGATGTGTACACACTCCGAGATCTTGCCTCTTATGGCAACTGATCTCATGAACCCAATTCCACAAGATAGCAGAAGTAATATGCCACTACATGCAGACATATCTCTGGCAGTCTGGTTAATTCTAGCCACATATGAAAACAAGCTGCTTATTGTTGTGCAATGTCCCTAAATCTCTGTTTCTCCTCCTATACAGGCTGGTGAACGACTTGGACATCTGCTGTTTCACCTTTACTGATTTTGGGAAGAAGTTCCCACAGAAACACAATCTTAGTCCTGGAGCTTTCCAACAGATCTCCCTCCAGCTAGCCTATTATAGGTGAGGAAAAGAGTGAGATGATTTCTGTTGGAATATGTGGCCACTGGCTAGTTTGACCTAATTTTTCTCCCCAACTTCTGCGCAGGTTACACGGCTCTCTGTGTGCCACGTGTGAGGGGGTTTCACTCCGAGTATTTCATCAGGGAAGATTGGATGTTGTGCGTTGTTCCTCCCCTGAGGCCCTGGAATTTGTACAAGCTGCTGATGATCCAAGCAAATCGGTACCTCATGGGTTGGGTCAGTGACATGGCAAGGCCATGGATCCTCAGGGGAGGAGTTTTTTGATAGGGGGATACATATCCCTATATGTAGATACGCTTGTGCTCAGTTCCATAAGTGCACAAAATAGAGACATTCACTAATTGCAAACAAGAATCCACTCACTCATAGCCTGGGGTATTTAATGCATTGGTGATATATTTTATAATTAATAGGCCACATTTTCATGAATGTTAACCAAGCTTACAGGATTGAAGATTCGGCTTTAAGTAGGTGAAAGGGACACTTAATGCTGGTGTGTGTTGTTTTTCCTAGTGTAATTTTGTACATTTTGCTTTTGGTGTGCTAGGCAGAGGAGAAGCTGGCTCTAATGCTGAGAGCCATACAAAGTCACCAAACAGCTAGAGAGCAGGTAAGAAGTGTAATTAATTTATTTTTCTGTATGACATTTATAATCAAAGCTGCTTGAGATCAAGTGATTTCTAGATAAGGGCTCTTTCTGTTACTCTGGAACATAATTTGATTTTAATTATTTGACTCTTGCCTTCCTTGTCGTACTTTTAGCAGTCTTATCCTTAACCACTTGCCAACCGCGCTATAGTCCAATGACAGCTACAGCGCGGTTGTCAAGTCCTGGGAGGGCGTCATATCACATCCTCCCAGAATGTGTGCCTTCCCGCCCCCGGGGGTGTGCACCCGCGATCTCCGTGATCGCTGTGTCCTACGGACACAGCTGATCACATAATGTGGTAAAAAGTCAATCACAGCAGCCTTTTACCACGTGATCAGCTGTGTCCAATGACACAGCAGATCACTGGGTAAATGCAGTTGCCGGTTATCGGCTGCACTTTCCACACGCTGTCATAATCGGCAATTGTCAGTACGAAATGGCACCGATCATCAGGGCACTGAAGATTGGTGCCCTAATGAACAGTGGCCAGAAGTGCCGCCCACCTGTGCCCAGTAGTGCTGCCCATCAGTGCCCATCAGTGCCTAGTAGTGCCACCCACCAGTGCCCATCAGTGCCACACATCGGTGCTGCCAGTCAGTGCCACCCATAAGTGCTGCCTATAGTGCCAGCTCATCGGTGCCGCCTATCAGTTCTGCCCATCAGTGCTGCCTATCCATGACACCTCATCAGTGCCGCCTATCAGTGCAGCCTCCTCCAAAACACATCAGTGAAGGAGAAAAATTACCCGTTTGCAAAATGTTATAATAGAAACAAAGAAAAACTTTTTTTTTTTCTAATTGTTTTGCTCTTTTTTTGTTTATAGCGCAAAAAATAAAACTCCCAGTGGCGATTAAATACCACCAAAAGAAAGCTCTATTTGTGTGAAAAAAAATGATAAAAATTTCATATGGGTACAGTGTTGCATGACTGCGCAATTGTCATTCAAAGCGTGACAGCGCTGAAAACTGAAAATTGGCTTGGGCAGGAAGGGGGTATAAGTGCCCGGTAGGCTAGTGGTTAAGCTAGGTATACAAATTTTTGCCAGTTCCTGAGGCCACCTCCTGCCCGACATGCTTTGATTGCAAAATTGAAGGAGCTGGGTGGAGAACTGTTGTTCGAGCAGCAGCTGCATTTGCTTGGATGCAGCCACTGTTCAGGTCCTCCGAAAGGCCACTGCTGTCAGAATACTATAGCCGCACTGTATGGCCAGCTTAAATCAGATCTAAAGTTCCGCTGTTACATGCTGTGAGCAGGCAAGTCTTTTTATTGCAGAAGAGACATGCAATGTCTTTTCTGCAAAAAACTACACCTACCTGCCTGCTCACAGCAATCCCTGGACTGTAAACTGAGCTGCGCATGCGTAGTTTAGCTTACAGCAGCTGGCCCAGTCACTGTGGCACTGCAGATTTTTCTGTCCACACTGAACAGTGTGGATGAAGGTGCAACTGTAACATGAATATGGGTGTAACATGTTACAAAAGGTGAACGTATTCTTTAAGTGAGTGCATTTGTGCCACAAATCACCTAGTGCTCTCAGTGCTATTCACTCCCCTTTGTTTCATCCAGAGGCGTCCCTAGAGTTGGTGCCACCCGGTGCGGTAACACTTGGTGACACCCCCTCCGACGATCCCCGCAGAATGGATCGGATCTGCGGATTGAGCATAATGGATCGGACTCTGATCCATTATGCTCAATCGGCAGACCCGATCCGTCCAGCGGGGATCGTCGGAGGGGGTGTCACCAAGTGTTACCGCACCGGGTGGCACCAACCCTAGGGAGGTTGAAACCGGGACATGCGCAGTTGCTTCAGGGGGACATATCTACATGGGAGACACATCTTGCTGCTACACAATCCCCGCAGGATCGTCGGCATGCAACCTATACGGGGTGACACTGGACCCGCTCCAAGAAAAGGTAAGTTGTATCCATCGGATCCATCCTGCGGGGATTGTTGGCTTGCTTTACAACTTACCTTTCCGTTGAGCTGGCCTGGTGTCACCCCGTGTGGCCAGTGTCATCCTGTGCGGACTGCATCCCCCGCACCTGGTTTCATCTACTCTTACCAAATGCAAAAATTTCAGCTGACATATCAGATATAATATTCCTCATTTGCACTCTTCCCTCTGAAGTTCCCAATCCATGTCAAAGACACCCAAAAATAAATTTAAAAAAGGTTAAAATGGTGTATATTGTCTGATTTTAATAATAACATTCCACAAATCATAATGCTCAAAAGTACAAATTTCTTTAGTGCATAAGGAATCCATCTGCATGGATCTCGAAGCACATCCTGGAGTCTACAATATATCAACCGACTTAAATAAACAAACTCAAAGTCCCACAAGTAAAATGTCCAAAATTTCAAAAAGACCCCAAAAAAATGTCCAACGTGATATCCAAATCTTGATGGATAAGTGCTCACTACTCCAAAACAAAGATGAAGATAAAATTCAGACGTTCTTCATATACCCTAAATCAAAAAATTATCAGCATGTGATCAACCCGTGTGCATGGAGAATCCTCAAATTAGCATCCTCTTGCTCCTTTGGACCTCACAAACAGACCAGGAATCAGTATGTGAAAGAATAACATATACATTTTATTGTAGCCACTTACATTAAAATCTGGTAAAACCGTTTTCCTGCTCCTAGCGACAAGAGTAACCCCATTGTGGTAACAGAAGATCTCCGATCCCCAGCGAGTTACACCGTCACACTCCTGCCCACCACTGTCACTTCAGCTCTGGGGGAACGCCAGGAGTACACCCCAAGTCCCAGGAACGGCAAACACACGCGCTCCAGAATCCAAAATGGCCACCGCGGCACTCCGGGAACGTCAATACGTCCCGTGCTGCATTGACAGGGCACGTGAAGTTGCGTTCCCGTGCCGTGGTGGCCATTTTGGATTCTAGAGCGCGTGTGTTTGGCGTTCCTGGGACTTGGGGTGTACTTCGCTGGGGGTGGGGCAGGAGTCGGTAACTCGCTGGGGATCGGGAGATCTTCTGTTACCACAATGGGGTTACTCTTTTGTCGCTAGGAGCAGGAAGACGGTTTTACCAGATTTTAATGTAAGTGGCTACAATAAAATGTATATGTTATTCTTTCACATACTGATTCCTGGTCTGTTTGTGAGGTCCAAAGGAGCAAGAGGATGCTAATTTGAGGATTCTCCATGCACACGGGTTGATCACATGCTGATAATTTTTTGATTTAGGGTATATGAAGAATGTCTGAATTTTATCTTCATCTTCGTTTTGGAGTAGTGAGCACTTATCCATCGAGATTTGGATATCACGTTGGACGTTTTTTGGGGTCTTTTTGAAATTTTGGACATTTTACTTGTGGGACTTTGAGTTTGTTTATTTAAGTCGGTTGATATATTGTATACTGGTACTTCAGGGGAAGGATAATGATGCGACTTTAGGGGATATTATGTGTTATGTATTTTTGTGTGCTGACTTTTAGTTATTTTACATCCTGGAGTGTACATCCGTGCAGGTCTGATGCATGGATCAAAACGCAGTTTGTTCTCCTCCTGATCTGTGCATTGGACCTGCAGGGATGTGCACTCTAGGATGTGCTTTGAGATCCATGCAGCCGGCTGCCTGTCATTGATCTGAAGATGCTGGCTGCAAGGAACACCTGTGCATCTTGTGTGGATGAAGATCGCTTTTCACATGGGTATAGGGATCGCTACGCCGTGAAATGAGACCTAAACCGGAAGGTGGCAGTTATATACTGTACACTCAGTAATTAGGTGTTGCAATTAGGTGTTTTCTGCCCATGCCGAAAATGTCCCAGAATAACCTGGTATTGTAGAAATATCTGTCATCCTTCCCCTGTCCTCATCCCTCTCTGTATCACATTAGGTGAAGGTATTTTTAACCTGGAAAATTTGGTTGCTTGCTAAATCGTTTCTCTCATTATCCCACGGGTTCCCAGCAGGTGGAGCTGATAATTTTCTATATTCAACACCCGGTTTCTGTTTTCAAGTGTTACAGCATGCGGCACGCACGGCCTGAAAATATAAAGGGCCATTATCATTAGAAATATGTCATTCTCTCACTGTATACAATCAGTACATGTAATGATATTCAGTACATGAATTCCTTTTTTGCCCTACGTACTTTTTTCACCAAATTTACATTCATACCAAACCGTCCAGCAGAATTGACAATGACAGAGGATGGCACCAACTAAAACACTTTCTAAGGTGCTTGCAATTTTCATGGATTAAAAAAGGGGGAAAAAAAAAATACAACAAATTTCAAATTTCCCTGGCAGTGTTATTATTACATTACATAAAAAGCACAAAAATGTCATGCTTAGTGTATACTACATAAGTGTGAAGACTGGCTTTAAGCTGAATGCAGCTCCGTATTAATTACAGGTATTTTTTTTTAAAGCAGACCGTTTAAATAGGAACTTTTTGTACAAAACAAAAATGGTTGAACAGGAAGAATTTTTATTGGTCTCTTTTGCATCAAAATGACCTACCTGCCTGTCGGCCCCGTTCAGTGAGCTGTTTGTGTACAGCTCACTGTAGAAATTTGGTAATGCTGAAGCTGACTGCACTCCTGCACATGCATGGGAGTTACGTCATATCAGACTGGCCAATGAAAGTGACCGGCGCTTGATACCTGGAATTGGGGAGCTCCAGGACGCTGCATCACTGGAGCCAAGGTGAGTACAGTTCTGCACTAAGCAGTGCTTTACATTTTGTGCATTCTGAGCATTCACATCAATCCCAGCCCCCAGAAGCTTACAATCTAAGGTCCCGATCTCACTTACTGGTGAAACTCAAAAAATTAGAATATTGTGCAAAAGTTCATTTATTTCCGTAATGCAACTTAAAAGGTGAAACTAATATATGAGATAGACTCACTACATGCAAAGCAAGATAGTTCAAGCCGTGATTTGTCATAATTGTGATGATTATGGCTTACAGCTCATGAAAACCCCAAATCCACAATCTCAGAAAATTAGAATATTGTGAAAAGATGCAATATTCTCGGCTCAAAGTGTCCCACTCTAATCAGCTAATTAAGCCATAACACCTGCAAAGGGTTCCTGAGCCTTTAAATGGTCTCTCAGTCTGGTTCAGTAGGAATCACAATCATGGGAAAGACTGCTGACCTGACAGTTGTGTAGTAAACCATCATTGACACCCTCCATAAGAAGGGAAAGCCTCAAAAGGTAATTGCAAAATAAGTTGAATGTTCCCAAAGTGCTGTATCAAAGCACATTAATAGAAAGTTATGTGGAAGGGAAACGTGTGGAAGAAAAAGGTGCACAAGCAGCAGGGATGACCGCAGCCTGGAGAGGATGGTCAGGAAAAGGCCATTCAAAAGTGTTGGTTACTTTCACAAGGAGTGGACTGAGGCTGGAGTCAGTGCATCAAGAGCCACCACACACAGACGGATCCTGGATATGGGCTTTAAATGTTGTATTCTACTTGTCAAGCCGCTCCTGAACAACAAACAACATCAGACGTGTCTTACCTGGGCTAAAGAAAAACAGAGCTGGTCTGTTGCTCAGTGGTCCAAAGTCCTCTTTTCTGATGAGAGCAACTTCTGCATCTCATTTGGAAACCAAAGACCCAGAATATGGAGGAAGAATGAAGAGGCACACACTGCAAGATGCTTGAAGTCCAGTGTGAAGTTTCCACAGTCTGTGTTGATTTGGGGAGCCATGTCATCTGCTGGTGTTGGTCCACTGTGCTTCATTAAGGCCAGGGTCAATGCAGCCATCTACCAGGAGATTTTGGAGCACTTCATGCTTCCTGGTTCAATGACTATAGGATTACTGTGCTTGATTGGCCAGCAAACTCGCCTGACCTGACCCCCATAGAGAATCTATGGGGCATTGCCAAGAGAAAGATGAGAGACAAAGACCGAACAATGCAGAAGAGCGGAAGGCTGCTATTGAAGCATCCTGGTCTTCCATAACACCTCAGCAGTGCCACAGACTGATAGCTTCCATGCCACGCCGCATTGAGGCAGTAATTGCTGCAAAAGGGGCCCAAACCAAGTACTGAGTACATATGCATGCTTATACTTTTCAGAGGTCCGATATTGTTCTATGTACAATCCTTGTTTTATTGATTGCATGTAATATTCTAATTTTCCGAGATTGTGGATTTGGGGTTTTCGTGAGCTGTAAGCCATAATCATCACAATTATGACAAATCACGGCTTGAACTATCTTGCTTTGCATGTAATGAGTCTATCTCATATATTAGTTTTATCTTTTAAGTTGCATTAGGGAAATAAATGAACTTTTGCACGATATTCAAATTTTTCAAGTTTCACCTGTACATGGACTAGAGCCAACTTATCCACCAGCATGTCTTTGGAGTGTGGGAGGAAACCAGAGTAACCCCACATAATCACAGAGAGAACATGCAATAAGCAGACTCCGATGTGTCACTCAAGTGACACTCTACACTCACTGGCCTCTTTATTAAGTACACCTGTTCATTTGCTTGGTAACACAAACTGCTAATCAGCCAATCACATGGCAGCAACTTAATGCATTTAGCCATCTTGACATGGTGAAGACGACTTGCTGAAGTTCAAACCAAGCAACAGAATGGGGAAGAAAGGGGATTTAAGTGACTTTAAACATGGCATGGTTGTTGGTGCCAGACAGACTGGTCTGAGTATTTCAGAAACTGCTGATCTACTGGGATTTTCACAATTTTGTATTACCAAGCAATTGAACAGGTGTACCTAATAAAGTGGCCAGTGAGTGTATATAATTCTGCTTCTCTCCTCCTCTGGATGCTACACTAAAGATTTTATAGGGAGGTGAAGGGAGGGGCAGAGGAGCTGGGACAACACAGAGTAATTGGCCACTCCCAGGAAAGTAGAGGGCTATGATGTGCAAGGAAGGAGGGGACTGTACAGTAGATGTCAGAGACTACTTTATTATATAAAAGTATATGCTCAGAGACTTGGAATATAAAAATAAAAAAAAAGTATGGTCAGAGACTACAGGAATATAAAAAAAAAGTATATGGTCAGAGACTACAGCAATATAAAAGTATATGGTCAGACACTATAGTAATCTAAAAGTATGTATATATATATATATATATGGTTAGAGACTACAAGAATATAAAAGATATATAGATATAGATATATATATAGATAGATAGATAGATATAGTCAGAGACTATTGGAATAGAAAAGTATTTGGCCAGAGACTACAGGAATATAAAAGTATATATTTATTGTTAGAAACTACAAGAATATAAAAGTATATGGTTAGAGACTGCAGGTATGTTATAGTAGATGATCAGACTATAGACATATTATAGTAAATGGTCAAAGACCAAAGGCATGATAAAGTTGATGGTCAGAGACTAAAGCTAGGCTACAGGAGATGTGATGATCAGATACTGAAGACATAACACAAGAGTTAGTTGAAGACCGTGGACATAATATTGCAGATGGTCAAGGGTTACAGAAATACTATAGGAGATGGTTAGGCACTGCTAGAAATCACTGCCATTATACGGGGAAAAATGTATACATAACATAGTTTTGTTATATTTTTTTTGTCATTAAATCGTTTATTCTGATTGCCACTTAGTGGCCATCATTGAAACTGCACCCTGATAGCTAATACCTATATGGAAGCTTCCCTTGGAGTGGTGTGTGCACATTATTCCTATTCCAATCCAATTGTGAGATTTTTTTTTTTTTTTAATTCAGGTATGGAATAATAATGGTGTGTGTGACTATCTCATCTTGCATGTGATGCAAAAAAAAGACAAAGTAGAACATTTCTTGTGAACCAGACATGCAGATATACTTGTTTTGTCACCCAGTTTCTAGTGTTGGGAGAAAAGTGCAATGAAAGCTTCCTCTCTGGGACTATTGTTCAAGAAGCAAGCAGATTATCTACCTTGAACTTAGTACACAAGATCAGAAAATCGCTTTTCGAATCCATCGTACGATTGTTCACACACAGCTTTAATTATTCGAAGGGACAAGCTAGAAAAATTTTCTCGTATGATACCAGATTGTACGCTTTTTGTTTAATCAGCACAGCTCTCATCTGAAAGTACAATACAAATACTGTATAATACAATAGAAGAAGATGAAAGAAAGAGCGCACAAACCTTGCGCATTACCTCAATAAATAGTGACTAATTTTATTATTAAGGAAATATACTCACAAAGTGATGGTATAACAGGCATAAGTAACCATAATCCAAACAGGGTTACAGGTAAATCCAAACGGGGGGGTGGGGGGGATGAAGGCTAACTCGTTTCGAAGGGTGCTCCCTTTTTCATCAGAGCTGGGACACTAAACAGGCTGAACTGCTGTAATACTGACACTCAGTGGCTGAATATTTCCTTGCCATGGGAACTCTGCCATACTGAAGTCTCTTATCTGCTCAACCCAGCTCTGATGAAGAAGGGAGCACCCTTCAAAACGCGTTAGCCTTCATTCCCCCCCCCCCCCTTTTGGATTTACCTGTAACCCTGTTTGGATTATGGTTACTTATGCCTGTTATACCATGGCAGATGGTCATCTCTAAAAGAAAAATACATTGAACCTCGATGAGGAAAATGGTGTACAGCAGACAAGGGATCACCAAATCTAGATTAGTAGCAAATGGGAAAATGTTGTTTTTCTGATGAATTTGTTTCTGCTGTGACATGCATATCTTAGGGTCAGGATTCATAGCATGAATCCATCCTTACGTAAATGATTCAAGCTGGTGGGGTAAAGGTAACGCTGTCAAGGTATGATGGACCTAATTCTTAAAGGAACATCTTCAGCAACTTGCCAAGTCCAGGAATTTGTAGTAAATTGTTCTAAAGGCAAAAGTGGAGCATGACTAATATATGGTGGTCAAAAAAAATAATTATATTCTTTATTAATGAGTAAATGAAAATATTAAGTGCTTATATGCTAATGTTAGGTTTCATATATACAGGTTTGCTTGCTAAGATGATGTTTCAGAGATGTTATTAGAATTGTCCTTTGGAATTTGTTAGAATGTCCTTGTGCAGTATGCAGATGCGTACATTTGGTCTCCGAGTTTGCACAAGTAAGGGCTCATGTACACGGGGCGTTTGGAAAACTCTTCTGAACGATGGAAACTGCTGGAAAACGTAGGTTAAAAAACATCAGTTTAGCCGCGTTTGCATACCGCGTTTATGCGCTTTTATGTGCGTTTGCATTTAGAAGCTTTTTTTTAAAGATAACCTCAGGAGACCTTCCCAAATGCCCAGAATGCACTAAAAAATAGTAAAAAATTAACTATTTTGGACATTTTGAGAGAAATAAAGAGAGCAGAAGCAGAGAGAGCAGTATGTGTTGAGATGACCTGTCTTTTCTGGTTGTATTCTCTATGGATCCCATCATGAGAATAATGAGGCACGTTCTACCATTTTTTCCTTCACGCAAAACCTGGAACTGACTGTGCTGGTGTACCGGGTCCATTTGAATACATGAAAACCGCTTTTGCATGCATTTCTGATGATGAAAAAAGGCTCTGGCAGGCAGCATCTGGACATGGAACAGTTAAAAAATGCTTCTAAACGCAAACGCTTATAAACGCGGTTAACCACGTTCACACGTGTTTGGAACGCTGTTAAAATCTGCTCCTGAACACAAGTTTGGTGCATTCAACTGCCTGTAAACGACTCTGTGTACATGGACACATAGGAAAACATTAGGGAGAGTTCAGGGGCTGCTGAAAAAAAAACTGCTGAACAGCAGTTTAACCTGAACGTCAGTTAATCAGCTGCAGTGTACATGAGCCCTAAAGTTATTGTGTTAAATATAAAAATTATTTACAGTATTTTGAGTTGTTCTTATGCGACAATTGCCTAAAAAAAAAGACAATCTAATCTTTTTCTAATTTTTTTTTTTTTTTGCGAATTTTTTTTTTCTAATCAGTATTTTTATTTTTTTGTATCTCTTCTTTTCGAATTAAAATTTAAAAAACTTCATCATGTGCAGAGTTTATTGATTTGCCCTATCATTGCTATATCTGAAACACTGTGCATGTTTGTGTATATATTGCTAGGATCATTTGCAACAATATATTTCTTGTAGGTGTTACAGGGGCAGTCAATAGATGGCACTATCTTGGCTCTGAAGATGCTTTGTATCTCTTCTGGGTTGGCCCTCCCCACTCTTCTTATGGATACCTCCTATGCCGTGTCTTCCCACTGGAAGCTCTTCACAGGACAGGTGTGTGTACAATCAGTGGGACACATAGCTTTGTTGGAGAGGTTGCTTCAAAGCAAGTCTTATGCTTGTATGAAAATATCCTTAAAGTGTTAAATTCACAACAGTAAAATCAGTCTGTATATGCAGTAAAGCATGCCTGTTATACTCCTTGTGGAACTTATGTGGTTAATCCTCTGTGTAAAAGGGCTGTTTGATCCTGTCTTCTCTTATCCTCCCCTTTTCTACTGTCTGTCCCCAATCCATCTGCTGATAGAACAGAGCCTCGAGGGGCAAGCTGTACATGCTCAGTTTAGTTTGTATGGCTAGAGAGGTTTTTTTCTTGGGAGAGTGAATGTGATCAGTACAGGGCCAATCAGCACTGTCCAGACAGAGGGTCAGGGGTTATGCAGCCTCCTAGGAGAATCATAGCAGAATGAAAACTCCTTCTACAAACTTTTTAACCAGTTGTCTGCTGGACACTGATAGAAGTCACAAGACTGCTCTAACTGCTGATGAGAAAAGGTATTTTATCAGTTGATAGTTACTAAAATAATTGCATTTCAATGTTCTGTGTACTGTGGGAGACCAGATATTAGTCAATGCAGGGTCCAGGGTTTAGTAACACTTTCAAGTTCTTGAAGTCCTTGATGATCCAATAAATGGTAGATTTAGGTGCAATTTTAGTAGCAACAATATCCTTGCCAGGGCAGTAGAGTAAAAAAAAAAGTAAACTGATTTTACTGGAGAAAATATTGCTCAAGGCTCTCTTTAGTGCTGCTCGCATGACCAAAACTAAAGCATTTGGCCATGTCTTCTCTGCTGAAAGAATACCAGGTCTGGTTGGCTGACCTTTGCATCTAGCAGATTGCATGACAATTTCCTCTCTGGAAATTCCAGGTTCTCACCCCAGTGCCATTTGCTGGGCTTTAGAAAATTAGTACCAGAGGATGAAAGGGGTTCACAGCGAAAGCCGCATTGAAGTGTGTGGTTACATAATTAGCATTGTGGCAGAGGAAGGATGGGGAGTGGAAGGAATTTTGGTTAAAGCGGAGCTGTTCCCTGCTCGTGTAGTGCGAAGCCGCAGATTCACATTAGTGCCAGCAGCCAGAGGAAAACCGCCCGTCCTTTGCTCTCCTGAAGCTCCAATAACAAGAACAAGGATAAGAAGCTTGACGTGAGTCATGACATGGAGCTTACACAGAGTTAGTCTCTCCCCCCCCTTTTCTATGTGACAGCTCTGGGTGCTTAAGCAACCAATCACCAGCACTGTAACATAGGAGGAAAGGGTGTTGCATACTCCCCATACCTGGAAGCATTTTTTATTTGCTCCCAGCAGCCAAATTGAGTGAGCTGAGTATATGTTGCAGCAAGGGCCGACGTGAAAGTGAACCTGTTGCTTTGCCCAGCGTAGGCATACACAGGAGTACACTCAAAAAGCTCATCTATGCTGCATAGAAGAAATCTCACTAAACATTTTTGGTGATCCTGTAATTCATCAATAAAGTGCATGTAGCACTTTGTCCAATGTTTCTAGTTTGTCTCCTGGCTGAGATTGCTCAGATTTGAGCTCGGTCAGCAGTGGATAACCCTGCTCCCCCCCACCGTTGTCTGACCACTCCTCATCTAGCCAGGAGATGAATATTTGATTAGCTATGATTGACTTTGTTTTCTTGGGCTACAGGCACTTCCCCAAGGACAGTCACTGGCTACGCAGGGGGGAGTCACTGGCTACGCAGGGGGGAGTCACTGGCTACGCAGGGGGGAGTCACTGGCTACGCAGGGGGGAGTCACTGGCTACGCAGGGGGAGGGGGCTTGTCTGCTACAGTACCAGTAAGAGTAAAAAGACTAGCCCAGACAGGCATGCTCACAGTACTGATACAGGGCAGGAGGGTTGTCAGAAAGAGGCTCCCATTCCGAGTGTAGCTGACGTCAGTGCGTAACAGGCACCACCTCCCAACCATGGATAGACCTACAATTCTGGCTTAGATGACAGGAAGGAGGAGGACAATAAGTAAACCCTAGTAGATCTTTTGAGTGGATAATGGAGGTTACTATACATTAATGACTGGTATTTAGGTTTTTTATGATTGTGAGAGTACTTCTTTCATGGTTCATGCTCTTATTATTAGTATTATTATTATACAGGATTTATATAGCGCCAACAGTTTGCTCAGCGCTTTACAATATAACAGGAGACAATACAGCAACAATACAGTTCAATACAAGAGGGATAGGAGCAGGGGCGGACTGACAACTCATGGGGCTCCTGGGCAATAGGGGATCATGGGGCCCCTGTGTCCTTGCCCAAACTCAAAAAAGCCTATGAAAAAGGTGCCAGGGACATCTCATGGGGCCCCCTACTGACCCCCGGGCCCTCGGGCAGTGCCCAAGTTTCCAAATGGTCAGTCCGCCCCCTGGATAGGAGGGCCCTGCTCCTTGGAGCTTACAATGCTCTTCTGCTCAAGTTGGGCAAGTTCCTATTCAACTGTTCAGTACCAAAACCTCTGCTGGCCACTTAGAATTGCAGGAGTGGGCTTAGCACCAAGTTGGACAGAAATCAAGTCACAGTTCACCTTTGCCTGCAAACATGTTTTTTTTTTTTTTTCACACCATAGACCTGATAAAGGGAGAGTGAACCCTGAAACACGTTGGCTTTCTAATATTGTTGATCATTCAATAAAATATCCTTCTGGACTCTATGGTTTGTATATCAAATCAGGGCTTGACAAATTTACTTTGAATCTAGGAGCCAGTTAAAAAAGTTAGGGGCCAGGTTTTTTTTTTTATCATAGTGTGGGTTGTCCGTGCCCAGGACTTCACGCAATGTGATTTGCCACACAACAATCTCAGCAAAACCGCACCACGGTCTAGGTGCCATTGAAAATAATGGCATATGAATCTGCATTTTGCTATCACAGCAATTCTCATGCAATCCCAAAATGCCCAGGTGTGCGATTCCGGATTCGTTTTGAAACTCAAAACATATGATGTGTTCCTATTGAGGTGGTTCACACAGATGTGATCCACACGCATTGTGTTTTGAGTGCCATTATGAAAAGGGTCCTGTGCGAATCTGTAAGAATTTTTAATAGAATTTCTCCTGACCGGAGTTTTCCCATTGAAGTCTATGGGAGACCTTTTCCCATTGAGGTCTATGAGAGGCCTTTTCCCCATTGAGGTCTATGAGAGGTCTTTCCGCATTGAGGTCTATGGGAGGCCTTTCCCCATTGAGGTCTATGGGGAGGCCTTTCCCCATTGAGGTCTATGGGAGGCCTTTTCCCAATTGAGGTCTATGGGAGGCCTTTTCCCCATTGAGGTCTATGGGAGGCCTTTTCCCCATTGACGTCTATGGGAGGCCTTTTCCCCATTGAGGTCTATGGGAGGCCTTTTCCCCATTGACGTCTATGGGAGGCCTTTTCCCCATTGACGTCTATGGGAGGCCTTTTCCCCATTGACGTCTATGGGAGGCCTTTTCCCCATTGACGTCTATGGGAGGCCTTTTCCCCATTGACGTCTATGGGAGGCCTTTTCCCCATTGACGTCTATGGGAGGCCTTTTCCCCATTGACGTCTATGGGAGGCCTTTTCCCCATTGACGTCTATGGGAGGCCTTTTCCCCATTGACGTCTATGGGAGGCCTTTTCCCCATTGACGTCTATGGGAGGCCTTTTCCCCATTGACGTCTATGGGAGGCCTTTTCCCCATTGACGTCTATGGGAGGCCTTTTCCCCATTGACGTCTATGGGAGGCCTTTCCCCCATTGACGTCTATGCGAGGCCTTTCCCCCATTGACGTCTATGCGAGGCCTTTCCCCCATTGACGTCTATGCGAGGCCTTTTCCCCCATTGACGTCTATGCGAGGCCTTTCCCCCATTGACGTCTATGCGAGGCCTTTCCCCCATTGACGTCTATGCGAGGCCTTTCCCCCATTGACGTCTATGCGAGGCCTTTCCCCCATTGACGTCTATGCGAGGCCTTTCCCCCATTGACGTCTATGGGGCGCGACTTCCCATTGAAGTCTATGAGAGGCAGTATGTGTGCGAACCCAGACGCCAAGGCGCAATTTCTAGTTGCCATGGCGATCTGGTGCCTGGGAATTTGTTGAGCCCTGTATCAAGTTTTTCTGAATATCAGAATATCATATTAGAGCCCCTTTTAGCTTGTTACCAGGAGACTGGATGCTACCCAGCCACATAATTACATTACCTTAGAACACTTTTCGTACGAGACTTGTAGTGTGGATGGGTGGTTGCGTACACATGTAATGCCCATAATTCCATAGTACTAGTGTTTTCTCTCTCCCCTAGGTTGCCTCTCCGATGGACTGTGTGATGTGCTATGGGCCGCTCGTCCCTGATGGTTATAGCGCCTGTTTCTCCCCCGTCTCAGGATAGCATCACCGTGTGCGTCTCAGCCTTTGACTGCTGTCAGGAGACCGATGCTCAGAGACTGTCAGACAGCCTCCAAGTTGCACTGCGGGACATGCATTCCTTCATTACACAGTGCCGACCTGGGGAGGAATAAACTTGGTTCATTTCTTTCTGTTACATTGATACAACCTGGGTACCTTTCTCGTTAATTTATCAACATGTTTCTCAATAAAAACAGTAATGAGAAAAGCTTGAGATATTTTTGTAATGGTCAGACCAATGGCAGCAGATTCTACTGGCGCCCGTGTGAGCCTTAAAGCTCTGCTACATAACTCCGGAATGAAAGATACCTCTAGATACAGAATAATATAAGCTATTAGAATGACAGATGTTTTAGGGGATTTTTATCATTGCAAAGGTATATGTGTAAGGCTTTTTTCACACCTATGTGTCGTAACACACATGTATCATTGCATCAAATGTATGTACATGGTACCCCCATTGTTTTTCAATGGGTCCAGGTTACATATACTATGTGTTGCATTGTGATCCAAAAATGCAAGATACATGCGTTTTCATGCACTGCAAATGCACAGGAGACCCGTCCCTGACAATAGTCCCCGCGTCCTCTTTCCCAAGCTACATTTGGAAAATGACAGTTGGTTCTCACACACCTCTCTAGATGCTGAGCACATACAGTGGGTCAAAAAAGTATTTAGTCAGCCACCAATTGTGCAAGTTCTCCCACTTAAAAAGATGAGAGAGGCCTGTAATTGGCATCATAGGTAGACCTCAACTATGAGAGACAAAATGAGAAAAAAAAATCCAGACAATCACATTGGCTGATTTGGAAAGAATGTATTTGCAAATTATGGTGGAAAATAAGTATTTGGTCAATATCAAAGGTTCACCTCAATACTTTGTTATATATCCTTTGTTGGCAATGACAGAGGTCAAACGTTTCCTGTAAGTCTTCACAAGGTTGGCACACACTGTTGCTGGTATGTTGGCCCATTCCTCCATGCAGATCTCCTCTAGAGCAGTGATGTTTTGGGGCTGTCGCTGGGCAACACGGACTTTGCACTCCCTCCAAAGGTTTTCTATGGGGGTTGAGATCTGGAGACTGGCTAGGCCACTCCAGGACCTTGAAATGCTTCTTATGAAGCCACTCCTTCGTTGCCCGGGCGGTATGTTTGGGATCATTGTCATGTTGGAAGACCCAGCCACATTTTATCTTCAATGCCCTTGCTGATGGAAGGAGGTTTGCACTCAAAATCTCACGATACATGGCCCCATTCATTCTGTCCTGTACATGGATTAGTCGTCCTGGTCCCTTTGAGGAGAAACAGCCCCAAAGCATGATGTTGCCACCCCCATGCTTCACAGTAGGTATGGTGTTCTTTGGATGCAACTCATCTCTCTCCTCCAAACACGACGAGTTGAGTTTCTACCAAACAGTTCTATTTTGGTTTCATGTGACCATATGACATTCTCCCAATCCTCTTCTGGATCATCCAAATGCTCTCTAGCAAACTTCAGACGGGCCCGGACATGTACTGGCTTAAGCAGGGGGGACACGTCTGGCACTGCAGGATCTGAGTCCCTGGCGGCGTAGTGTGTTACTGTTGGTAGCCTTTGTTACGTTGATCCCAGCTCTCTACAGGTCATTCACTAGGTCCTTTCACATAGCTGTTCAGTTCAGATCCGCCTTTTTGTTCAATCTGAACAGAATCTCCATGTAAGTCCTATTGATGGACAGGCAGATGTGAACTACACAGTATCTGAGGCACCACAAAACAAAAAACGCTATTTAATTCATGTTTAACATTCAAAGAAAACTCCCATGTCTCCATGCTTTATTGAGAAATCACATCATCAAAAAACACCCATAGCATTTTCTGGCCATCTTGAATAAGAGCACAGGATTCATGTAGCATTTACTTACTGGAATCCATCTGTCTTTAGTTCAGGCATGCAGGCAGGAGGCTGTGCTTAGCTGAGAAAACCCCTCCCCCTCCTGAAGTCTCCTGGAATTTGCCTAGGCCAGAAAACAGAAAGTAGCTGAATAAGTATAAAAAAACTAATGATAGAAGCACAAGGATTAAAAATAGTTCATGTTGATTAACCCCTTCACACCTAAGGGTAAAAACAAATCTAAATGCCTAAGCACAATTTTGCACCGTTGACATGTGTTAGTAGAACCGTACATATCATCACAACTACTTTGTACATCCAGGTGAATTATACTTTGTTTTTTTTTTCAGGACAAATTGGGCTTTCATTTGGTGGTAAATGGTAATGGATATCTCCTGATTTTTTTTTTTTTTATTATCAAAGGAAAACTGTCCCAAAATAGTAAAAAAAAAATTTTTTTTTATTTAGCTGTGTGTTTCTTGTTACTACCATAACCTACCATCGAAGAACAACCCAAAATAACTTTTCCAGCTCTTGACGATCGCAGTGATACCATATATGTGTATGTTATTTGTTGTTTGTACGCGTAGTACAGCCCAGAAACAATAGTGCACGTTGTTTTTTTTTGTTTTTGTTTTTTTTACCTAAATCATACTGACACCAAATTTTGTTTTTTAAATCCTGACCTTTTGATCCTGACCTTAACCCAAACACTTACCATGGCACTGAACTAGATCAAACCTTGATCTAGGTATTTTTTCTTTATTTTATTTCTTTTATTTTATAATTTTTTTTTTTTTTTTTTCTACAAATTTTTTTTCCACTCTAAGCCAGGAGTTAGAGAGATACAATGTACCTCTCTCCTCCATTCATAGAGAGAGAAAAAAAAAACACTAGCGGGTTGGGCTGTACAGTGACTGATCACTGTGATAGCCAATTAGAGGCTATCACAGCGATCATGTGACCCGGAATCGGGAGTCCCGGGTCCCGATCGTTAGAACGGGACCTTGGGCTCTCCGTGACACCGTGGTCTTTGTGCTGGGAGCACGCTGTGCGGCGCGCTCCCAGCAGAAAGACAAGTACGGAAAAAAGCCCAGTTCTGTGAGGCCGCATATTTGTGTGACGTCGGCGTCAAGGGGTTAAGAGTGAAATTCAACTCTTACTTTCAAGTCTGTCTAGGTTAAAAAAAAATGCAAAACATCTACATTCTTTTTTATTTTATTAGACCTAAACACAATTGATTTGGCAAAGTTGGATTTAAAACAGACATACATCCCTTTCCATCTGCCTATCTGTAGACCTAACATGGGTTCCTTAAAGCAATCAAATCTGCTAGTACATCTAACACTTCCAGACTAACAACGCTGCTGTCCAAACGTGCCTCCTGTGCTCCTTCATCCAGACTGGGCGCTCTCTAATACAGGAGGTGTTACTGGCCAGATCACTAGGTGAAAACAGAGGGAAAAAACTTAAAAAAGAAACTAAAGCAGCCACCACACCTGATTTGTAAGCTGCAATGTTACATTTTTGGTTTTAGGTTTATTACCACTTTAACAGATTTTCCATTTGGCTCCGATTCAGCAGGAGATCTGTTTACAGATCCCCTGCTGATGAGAATGGATGCAGTTATTTACAGCACAGTGGCTTAGTAGTTAGAACTCCTGCCTTGCAGCAAGAGGGTCAATTGGTTCAATTTGCAACCAGGACGCTACCTGCATAGAGTCTGAATTTTCTGCTTGTGGGGGTTTCCTCCAACATTCCTAGCTGGCTGGTTAATTGGCTCCTGTCTGAAGCAGCCCTGATATGTACTTGTGAGATGGGGCCTTAGATTGTAAGATCCTTGAGGGCAGGGACTGATGTGAATGTACAGCATGTCAAGCACTGCTTAATTAGCTGGTGCTATATACTGTAAATACTTGTAATCAATAAAGAAATAAATCTGCCTCTTGGCTAGGACTTCTGGTGGCTCTGCACCTGGAAGGCATCAGGGTTGCTTATTGAATATGCTGCATATGGCCTCCATTATACCATAAAGAAGGTTCTTTTTTTTTTAGTCATTTAAAAAAAAAAAAAAAAAAAAAAAAAAAACCTGGTGCCTTCCCCTCCCCCATGCATGTCATTCATCTAGGTCAGGGGTAGGCAACCTGTGGCTCTCCAGCTGTTGCAGGACTACAAGTTCCATCATACCTCTGCAAGTCATAGCTGTAACTGTCAGTTTGTAATGTTGCAATGCCTCATGGGAAATGTAGTTCTACAACAGCTAGAGAGCCGCAGGTTGCCTATGCCTGGTCTAGGTTAATGACACGCACTTTGCCCACATTGTCTCCTGGGAAATGTATGTCTCATATCCCAGGAGGCATAGTCCTTTATTGGGAAAAGAGGAGGGGGCAGGGCCAGGCAGAGTGTCATCATTGAAAGAGCCAACAGCTTAACCTGGAAAAGCTGGCAGCTTACTGATGACATCACAAAAGAAGATGGTGGTGCGGGACTGAGGGGGTGCAAAGAAGAAGTGGATCTCAGCAGGACATTGCTGGATCCGCTGGGGGGGTGAGTATCTTGAATGTGCAGGACCTGCAACCAGGTAAGTGGGGGTTAAAAAAAAAAAAAAAGGGGGGGGGGATATTAAGTTCCACTTTAGGTAAGAGAACCAGAACCTTCACTAAGAGGAAGAGTGTGTTTGATAATAAAGTTGGCAGTGCCTCTATCCAGGATAGAGTGGATTATATTCCTGGAAAATTAATCATTAATCTAAACAAAGTAATTGGGAGCAGGAGAACTACTACAACCAGAATATAACATAAGTATAGTTATAATACAAGCTTTGGATAAGAAGAGATTGATAAAAGTACATACATTCAATGTACAAACAGGTATTATCAGCAAAGGGCCTGATAGGAGTCCTGGTGGATTTGTGCACATACACCTGGGTAAAAACAGTTATTTATCGAGACACCTTCAGATGAATGTTGCAGCAAAGTCCCATTGCAGGGGCCCCGAGGATGATTCCGCATCAGTCTTTTTGTTGGGAGATCTGAAGACAAGATCTGTGGTGATGAAGAGACCTTCCGACTATTACCCGACCAGCCTGGAACACAGTTCTAGTTATCTTGGAATAATCATCTCTTCTGATCTGGTATTAGTAGCATGGACAGAACATGTGGCTTAGACTTTCTCTCTCTCCACTTCCTCCATCCAGGATCTTTTCCCAAGAGTCTGGAAGTGACATACATAATTATACTTTACACTGTGATACTAAAGGCTGACCGTAGAGGGCAGCGGATCCCTACACAGGTATTATTGGCTACTAGGTGGTTAGAGCAGACTTAAAGGGGGCCTTTCAGTAACTTAAAAGAAGTCTCAATTCCATTTTTATTCATGTTCTCTCCCGTTATATTTGTGTTCTGACACTGCAGCTAGCAAGGCAATGGCTGCTCTCCTTACCTGCTTGCCCCCTGTCCCCCCCAAACTCCTATGCAAGGTATGCTTGTCCCAGGCAAGTGATAAGAGTGCAAGTAAAGTGCCCTCTGTCAAAGCAGCTATCTCCTTGCTAGCCGCATAGGGGTGCCCTCTCCAAGCTTTAGAAATCACATAGGAAAATTGGACACAGTATTACATGCACTAACAGAACACATTAATAAATATAATAAAAAAATCAAAGTGAGATGACTTCTTCTTTAACAAATCTGCATGAATGCATCCCTGACATGTCACAATATCCAAAAAACAATATCGTTTTTCAAAAAAGCTCCTTCTTTTATCATTAACTTCTTCCCACATGGCCTAGTCAAATGATGGCTAAGCTGGAGCTACCTTATCCCGGGAAGACATCATATGATGCCCTCCCAGTTGTGCACCTTGGGCATGCCCTAAAGGCCGTGCTGCAGATTATTGTACTGGGTTGGTCCCAGTACCGTGGGATCACTGTGACTAATCACAGTGATCACATGACAGTTGTACACCATGAATACTTTCATTCATAGCCATTCATTGTGTACTATTAAGATGATCTCTGTGATTGGTCACAGTGATCACATGGTACAGACAGCCAACTACAGTGCATCTGTACCATGTGATATCTGTGGCTAATAACAGCTATCACAATAGTACTCACTGGCAATGAATGGATGCAATTCATAAAAAAATATTTCTTATTACAGTGATCATCACTGTTATAAGCAGTTATAGCAGGGGTGCCAAACCTGTGAGGGCCACTTAAGTGACTTGGTAAATGATCATAGGCCACAATGAAAGGAGGGGGCAGAGGACGGGTCCGTGTCCACTCACACATATGCAGGATGGACATGGACACAGCCCACTCTACGGACCCTTCGATTCGACACACTATAGTGGTGAACGGCTGGTCCGATTGGCTCAACCTGAAAAATGGGCAGGCAGACCTGATCAGACCAATCATGTGAAATTTGTCTATGGCTGCTTTCAAGCTGATGCAATGCGGTTTACTTGCTCCGTGGGTGAAGCGCAGTGCACCTGTGGGTTAGCTACACTTTGCTATCGAATTCTATTATATCCCGCACTTGTGATGTACTTTCTGAAAGTGCACCAAGATAAATGTTTTCGGAACTGATGGCTTCAAAACTGTATGGTGTCACAAAGGTGAGGAGTACAGAGAAAAATGCATGGAGCCTACAGTGAAACATGGTGATGGCAGTGTCCTTCTGTGGGGCTGCATGAGTACAGAAAGTATCAAGGAGCTGAATTTCATTGATGGTACCATGAATTCACAGATGTACTGCTCTATATTGACAGAGAGGATGCCACCATCTCTCCGTGCCCTTGGTCGTCATGCACTTTTCCATCATGACAATCATCCAAAACACACATCTAAGGCCACTGTTGCATTTCTAAAGAAGAACAGGGTGGAAGTGATTCAGTGGCCAAGTACTGTATGTCTCCTGATCTAACCCAATCAATTCATCTATGGGGAATTCTGAAGAGACGGAGCATCACTCTCCATCCAGCATCACAGGACTCTAAAAGAGATGTTTGAAGAAGGAGAAATGACCGATGTTGCATTATGTCGCAACTTGTTCATTCCATGCCTTGAAGATCTTGGTGCTGTCCTTACTAATCATGGAGGTCGGGGTGTCGGCATACCCGCGGCTACTTTTTCACCTTTGCTACCCAATCAAACATCTATGGGGAATTCTGAAGAGACAAGCTGAGCATCACTCTCCATCCAGCATCCAGGCTCTAAAAGAGATTGTTCTTGAAGAATGGGAAAAGACAGATGTTGCAATATGTTGCCAAATTTGTTCATGTCCATGCCTAGAAGACTTGGTGTTGTCCTTACAACTCATGGAGGTCATACAAAATACTAGATGGAGTCGTTTTTGTTGTGGGATGGATTCATTTTTGCTTCAACTATATGTCAAAGTAAAACCGAAGATTTTGTTGTGGGAATCTAAGTTATATTATTAACCTTACTTTGATGTAATGAGCCGAACAAATGTTCTATAAAACTCAGGTTTGCCAAAATGTTGGAACTTGTTCTTGTGTTCATTGAGATATTGATTAAAAACTTACTTTTCAAAAGGGGTGGACTCATGCTGATTACTGTATACAGCAAAAAAGAGAAACCTCAGTGGTGATTAACCACTTGGCAACCGCGCTATAGTCGAATGACGGCTACAGCGAGGTTGTCCACTTCTGGGAGGACGTCATATGACATCTCCCGCATGCCCCCAGCGATCTCTGTGATTTCTGTGTCCTATGGACACATCTGATCATGTGATGTGGTAAAAGGCCAATCACAGTGGCTTTTTACCACATGATCAGCTGTTTCCAATAACGCAGCAAATCACTGATAAATGCAGTTGCCGTTATCGGCTGCACTTTCCTTACGCTGTCACAGTGTGAGGAAAGTACTGCCGAGAACCAGCAACTGTCAGAGAACGGATCAGCACTAATCATCAGTGTCGCTCTGATGATCAGTCAGTGCCATCAGTCAGTGCTGCCTAACAGTGCCACTTATCAGTGTCCATCAGTGCTGCCTATCCATGCCACCTCATCAGTACTGCCCTATCAGTGCCCATCGATGCTGCCTATCAGTGCAAACTCATCAATGCACATCAGTGAAGGAGAAAAATTACCTGTTTGCAAAATTTTATAATAGAAACAAAGAAAAACTTTTTTTTTCAAATTTTTTGCTCTTTTTTTGTTTATAGCTCAAAAAATAAAACACACAGTGGCGAGTAAATACCACCAAAAGAAAGCTCTATTTGTGTGAAAAAAATGATACAAATTTCATATGGGTACAGTGTTGCATGACCGCGCAATTATCATTCAAATGCAACAGTCCTGAAAGCTGAAAATTGGCCTGGGCAGGAAGGGGGTATACGTGCCCTGTAGGCAAGTGGTTAAGTACCACCAAAAGAAAGCTCATTCTGTCTCAAAAAAATGCTAAAAATTGGAGTTGGGTACAGTGCTGCATGAGTGAGTAATTGGCATTTAAAGTGTGACAGTGTTGACATCTGAAAATTAGCCTGGGCAGAAAGGGGGTGAAAGTGTCCAGTATTGAGGTGGGTAAAAAGCACTCCTTGAGCTCCAGTACAGTGACGTTTCCTAGTATGAGACAATGTCATCAGCTAGCTGCAAGCATTTTCTCAGTCACCTCTCCCCAGTGACCACACAACATTTATTTATTACAGGTACTTATATAGCGCCGCAGTTTACGCAGTGCTTTATATGTGTGTATATATATATATATATATATATATATATATAGATTGTAAGCTCCAAGGAGCAGGGCCCTCCTATCCCTCTTGTATTGAACTGTATTGTTGCTGTATTGTCTCCCGTTATATTGTAAAGAGCTGAGCAAACGGTTGGCGCTATATAAATCCTGAGTAATAATATATATATATATATATATATATATATATATATATATATATTGTACATTCATATCAGTCCCTAACCCTCAAGGGGTGTACAATCTCAGGTCCCTAACTCACATTCATACATACACATACTAGGGACAATTTAGACAGGATCCAATTAACCTACCAGCATGTCTTTGGAGTGTAGAAGGAAACCGGAGTACCCAGAGGAAACCCACACAGGCACAAGGAGAACATGCAAACTGCAGGCAGGTGGTGCCGTGGTCGGGATTTAAACTAACAGTGCTAGTACTGCCAGGTGCAAGTGCTAACCATTTAGCCGCTGTGCATTGTAATTTTGTAGCAAATCACAAGCAAGGAGGTGGCAGCAGAGGCTGATCTGTGTCAAGAACTGCAAAAGGCACCAGGATTTACTGGATTTTGTCATCTCTAAACCAGCAGCTCAGCCATAGATGTAGATGCTAACACTGGTTGATTCCTGAGCAAAGATGGTTCTGTTCTTCTGGAAAGAAAAGCAATTAAGAAGATTATAAGGGGGGGGGGATGTAGGTGATCTCTGTGAGAGGCAATATGTGGAAGTGCTACATGCACACCAGGGGCGGACTGACAACTCATGGGGCCCCCAGGCAATAGGGGATCATGGGGCCCCTGTGTCCTTGCCCAAACTAAAAAAAGCCTATGAAAAAGGTACCAGGGGCATCTCATGGGGCCCCCTACTGACCCCAGACCCTTGGCAGTGCCCGAGTTTCCAAATGGTCAGTCCACCCCTGATGCACACATTATGTAGCATGCATGCTCCTAAAAAAAAAAAACAATATGTCTGATGAAAATCTTGCTGTTTCTGGGTAATTGTACTTTGCATGAGTCAGTCCGTCCTCGTTCTCTGGCAGGGACAGGAGATTGTGTACCTGCTATAGGAACGGCAGAGATGAAAGTCCCCAGCAGAGTGTAGAGGGAATAGCGCAGCCCAGGCAGGAGAGGGCAGTGACGCAGCCGCCGCTGGCGCTGACAGTATGATTAAAGGTTTGTATTTAAAGCTTTGTTACCTGTGCTAAGCGGGAGGAAGGATTATAAAGGCGGAATGTTCTTAGGAAGTGGCAGAAGAATATAGAATTCTCCCGAGGGGGGGGAAGCAATATAACTAAAACGTGACGGAGGCAGAGCTGACTGGTCCTAATAAACCACAATTGCCGACAACTGAACAATCATTTCCAGGGCTGCCTTGTGGCTTCGTTAATGAATCCCAACTAATTACATGTAATATTGTCTCCCAGAATTATTACATGATCATCCTTAAATTGCTTTTTTTTTATGGGATTGTTAAAGATCATTTTTTTTCTTTAGCTGTGCAAATGAAACAGATCATTCATGATTAGGACCCCGACCACATTTGCAGCATTACACCAACACTTGCAAATCGCAGGCGTTGAGGTTAGGTTCACATCTGTGCGGGTGGTGCCGCTGTGGATCCACACGAAAATCAGTGCAGCCGCACCACCCGCACAGAGAAATGCGGACCTGCGGGCGCTAATGGCACGCCGCCCGCACTTGAAATTGCAACCGTACTGGGAACCGAGGTTCCTGAGTGGGCTGCGGTTTCCAAAGAAGTGCAGGGACTTCTTCCCTGAGTGTCACAGGGCACGGGAGTCCATTCAAATGAATGGGTTCTCGTGCCCATGCAAAACGCGGCCCGCACAGCCGCATAGATGTGAACCGGGGCTTAGGCAGCATATCAGTGTGTGAGCATGTCGCACTTAGTGGTGCCATTTATTGTTAAAGTGGAGCTCCAGCTGAAAAAAAAAAAGTCAGCAGCTACAAAAACTAAAATACAAAATAAAATACAGCCACTTACCTGTCCCTCGGTCCTGTGGTGTCCTCACCAGTGGTGTATTTAGGTTTCGTGCTGCCCCTAGGCAACACAAAAATTGACTCCCCCCGCCCCACAGAGAGACCCTGACACTGACCAACACCTCCCTCCCCCGTGGAGAGAGCCTGACATTGACCAACAACACCCCAGCACCCCACCTGAGAGAGCCTTCCACTACCACCGCCCCCCATACACTGGCAACCCACCACCCTGGGAAGAAATAAGTCACTCACCTTCACAGCTCCAGAAATCCTTGGTAAAAAGAGTCAGGCTCTGCATACACCATCAAGTAGCTCACAGCCTCTCAGATCCCACCTGGTCCCCATGCTGCGTGTGTCCCTTCTTCCATCCCTTCTTTTGCGGGGCAGTGCTGCCCCCCTGAAAAATGCTGCTGCCCTCCTGAAAGATGCCGCCCTAGGCAAATGCCTTGTTTGGCTTGTGGTAAATACACCCCTGGTCCTCACCACGGCTGCTTTCATCGGCTGTCTTCTCTCCCTGGTGCTGGCATCTTTAGTGTGGGCACCCGGCTGTGACAGCTTGTGGCTTCACAGCTGGGTACCCACTGCACATGCACAAGAAGTGCTGCGCTTTGTGAATGGCCCCGTAGTCTTCTGGGACCTGTCACGTGTTCCAGAAGACTACGGGGAGGGAGGACAACTTCCGCTTCCGATCACCTAGGCGATCACAGTGGAAATGGGAGCGGGTACCTGTCAAATTCAGGTACCTGCTCCCCAAAGGTGCCAATCCTTAATGGGGAGCGAGGGACAATGCATTAAAGCGGAACTTCCCTTTTTGGGTGGAACTCCACTTTACAATGATAGTAAAGGCATTGCATTCTATGCATGTATAAAACCTTCTCTGTCCAGCATCCCCCCCAATACTAACCTAAGCCCCCTCTCAATCCAGCTATGTGTACTGGAATCTCAGCTATCCTGGGACTCCCTCTCCTCGTTGGCTGAGGCAGTAGCAGGAGCCATGGGCTCCTGCTGCAGTCAATCACAGCCAGTGAGCCAATGAGAAGAGAGAGGGGACAGGGCTGAGCTGCAGCTCCTTGTGTGAATGGCTACTTGGGAATGTTCCTGCTCGGGTGCTGCTAGCTGTGGGGGCCCCCGACAGGAGGGAGGGGCCAGGAGAGCCGGCGGGGGACCCGAGAAGAGGAGGATCGGGGCCGCTCTGTGCAAAACCACTGTACACAGCAGGTAAGTATAGACATGTTTGTTTTTTAGTAATTTAAGCCTTGACTATTGCACCAGAGATAGGCTCGTCCACTTCCCCATTATCACCATTACCGTTCCGCGCCAACCCCCTTCCCCCTAACCAATTATACTAACAAAAGACATAACACCAATTTTGGAGTAAATGGCCAATATGGCCTTTTATTAACAACTCAAGTTACAATACACCAACCATTCCTTATAACAGAAACCCACAGAATTGTTGTTGGTCTTCGAAGGCACCCCAAAATTATCCGAAATGCACCTGCGGACAACCATATACACTAGGCCTCCAGCCGCAACCAACCAGCTCGGAGACAACCATACCGTCCGCAGTGCAGCACCACCACCTTCCAGTTAAACCTTGGTTAACTGGGAATGTCCCCGGGCATCCCATACCACGGATGGGTCCCACACCATTGTTGTTTACCTTCCAAATAAGAACCGCCTCCAAAGACCAACAACCGCCACCAACCATTCCTTATAACAGAAACCCACAGAATTGATGTTGGTCTTCGAAGGCACCCCAAAACGATCCGAAATGCACCTGCGGACAACCATATACACTAGGCCTTCAGCCGCAACCAACCAGCTCGGAGACAACCACACCGTCCGCAGTGCAGCACCACCACCTTCCAGTTAAACCTCGGTTAACTGGGAATGTCCCCCGGGCCCCCCATACCACCGATGGGTCCCACACCATTGTTGTTTACCGTCCAAATAAGAACCGCCTCCAAAGACCAACAACCGTCCATGAACCAACATAATCCCCCCCTTCTACCTGGAGGGACCCAAAACTCACCCAAACAGGGAGGGCGGGAGGGAAGCTCACACTCTTGCCGTCCAGCTAACTGACGCCCCCTCACAGAACCTCCCACCCTAAGGTGCAGCAAAACCCCACCTACACCAACCTCTACCAATCAGCTACCCCCCACTAACAATAACAAATCCCCCTTGGAGCTACCTTAACCCTTTCTGCTCTTCCTTCCCCCACTCTGGGCCTAGTCATGTATGCCCTGCGCTATTTCTTCTTTATTTCGCTACGGGCATTTCTTTAGTTTCACTTTAATGATACCCCACATGCACCAAGAAAGAGGCACGTTTTTGCGCATGCACATGTT